AAAATTATAAAAATCAGTGGAAAATGACCAAAATCAGCTCCTGAAATCAGGAGATTTTCAATCAGGGAAAATTAAAAAAACCAGGAGACTCCTGGTCAAATCAGGAGGTTTGGTAGCCCTGCTTATTTTTCAATTAAATCTTGATATGAACATTCAGTTTCCATAATTGGATACATGTTGCAATGACGAAAAATAGCAGGCTAATGAAAAGATCGATGTGTCACAAGAGCTAAATTTCTCATTTCAAAATGCAAAGAACTCTCAGCACCTATCGTTTGTTTGTTTCTCGTCGTCTAGCATAAGCTATTTCATGAGGTTTCGATGTCAACAAATGTACGATACTTTTTGTTGATGATGATGATGAGTAACCAGACAAGCATCAGCTTTGTAGTTTTATTCGATTAGAATTTTTCTCAAAAATAACTGAATAATAATTAGATAAGTTCATACAAACTGCATAGAGATGTATATATTCTAAGTTTGAAAATATCTCTTCTCCTTAGATATTAATTTTGCAAAAGTTGAATCTAAACAATGAATAGTTAGCTAATAAAAAAATAACCTGGTGAATTCTGAAATGTGTTTTTAAAGAAATGAAAAATAACATGGTAGTCGATATAGCTTAGATTAGATTATTTTATTCCGAATGAACTTTTTTCATTTGCATTGGTCTTTTGTATTTACTTTTTCAAATCTATAATGAGATTGCTTATTTTGTACAAACCTATTTCAATAATCTTGGTTTATTGAGTAAAAATAGACTACCGATAGTAACATCCGTGTCATGGCATCTCGTTAAAAACAGTGACATGCATTTTTCACTAGAAAAGAACGGAAATTATATACTGAATATCGTTGTTTAATGATAAACCACTTTGACTATGAAAACAAATAAATCAATATATATTTATGAGTCATTGAAAAGTATTTTTAAATTAGCAGGTTTATTCTTGAAAAGACTAAAAGGACAGCTTTAAAATTCATCATTATTGATAGAAAAAAATTCGTCGATCCGGAGTCCAAATTTGACAAGGTAGACTTTTTATCTCAACTCTGGTCTTAATTCTGATGAAACTTTCCTATAGTTTATCGGGGTCCCTGAGTCCAAATCCGTAATCAGTTTTTCTATCTGAGCTTTCATGATTGAGAAAATTCATCGATCCGGAGTCCAAATTTCACAAGGTAGACTTTTTATTTGAACTCTACCGTCAATTCTGGGGTAAGTTTGATGCAATAAAAGAGAATAATTTTTTTCTTTGTTATTGATTCGTTCATATAGAAGGTTTCAGGTAAATTTGATTACATAAAGTAACAGGAATTTGTTTTGTTTAATTATAGAAGGCCGCAAAGATTCAATTTCAGGTGAGTGTGATCGTGTATAATTTAATATATTTGATTTGTTTTTGGTTCTAGGTTGATGCTTATACACAGTTTTAGGTAAGTGCTCTCTTAGTAAATCAAAGAATAATTCGTTTTTGTACTTCTAGGTCAGTACAGAGTTGGCGTTTTAGGGAAGTCTGATTTTACGTAATAATAAATTTTCGCTAATTTGTTTATTTTAGATTGTTTCAAGTAAAAGAATAGTGAAGTAAGTTTGATCTTATAAGATGATTGTATTTATTCATTTCTGTATTTTAGGTTGTTTCAAGTATGGAAATCACGGGTGACTTTGGCTTTAACCCTGTGCTGCCGCCAGCGGTATGCACACTGTTCGAGTATTTCTCAAAACCTCCAGTATGATATGCATCGAATGAATGAAAGTAAGATCAAATAGTCTATAGAATGATTTTCCTTGAGTGCAGAAAATTACTCTATAGACTATTTGATCTTACTTTTGATTCATTGAATGTATACCATACTCGGATTTTGAGAACTACTCGAATAGTGTGCATACCGCGGGCGGCAGCACAGGGTTAAATGAAATTTTTGAGTGAAGAGACAATTTGGAAGAAGATTTAGTGCAAATAGTTTTGTACTGAACCTTTTTTTGGATGCGAAATCTTTTTTTCAATGATTTTTAAAAGGTTTTGTATGAAACCATTGCTACGAAACCCCTTTTTTGGAATTATCGTGAAGGGGGTTGGTACGAAACCTCACTTTTTACAAAACCAAAAAAGGATCTGACCGTGTGCCGAGGATAAGATCCTTTTTTAGGTTTTGTGAAAAACCTATTTTTTTTAGAGTGGAGTTCAATCTAAAGCAACATTTCATTGACATCTTCATCATTGTGGTTTTTCTTATCAATCTACTGGCAAGATAAAACTTCTACTCCATAAGGTTGCCTTTATTGCTCAGAGAACGATTTGTTTGTGAAGCATGGATGATTATGCAATACCAGCGCACTTGCTTTTTCACGGTGAAATCTCGATTAATGCCTATGTTGAAAAAATTTCAATATGAATAGTCAGTAATGAACAGGGAAGAACCAAGAAGAGCAAAGAGAAAGGAAGCTTTCTCAGTTTTATATTGGAAATAAATAGGGAATTGTAAAATTTTAGACTAGAATTGCAATATCAGCAATTATGAATACTACTGGGATTGATTTACCTACTGTTTATATATTTTCTTATTCAAAAGTGCATTCAGGCAGTTTTGACTATTTTCTTACACGGATTGAAGAAGCAGCATTTGACCTTTGCGATGACAATCGTACGATCAGCTTTATTTCCCACATTTTTAGCGTGATGTGTGAATCGAATATTAGATAGGTTCACAAATACGTATTTGTATTGTGAACTGATTGATTCATGTAAACCAACAAAAATATCTTGGCGAAAAGAATAGTTAAAGCAGTGCTTAAATAATCGTGATATTCCTTGTAACAAAATATCGCCAAAAACAGAGCTTTAATAAATTGCATCACACAACCGCCTGATGAAACTATAAGCAATTAACCGTGGAAATCGTTCGGCTATCTTTCAGACATTGCTGTTTGACCCTACTAAGTTATTATTGGGAAATTTTAAAACACAACTTACGATAAAACGACATTCACGTCTAGCACGCTAATTTCCATACACTTGTTATACAGTTTATTGCTGGTTTCGATGGCGATGCAACTAGAAATCACATCAAGTAGTACTAAACACAATATTGATTTTTAACATCGTAGTCCCTATTCTAGGTAATTGCTGCTGTTTGTATCATATATTAGAATAATCGGGTAAAAAAGGACAACGATATGCGGCATAAGATGGGTATTCAAAACTAACAAAAATGTTTTCCAGTTCTAAATAAACAATATATAAATATGCCAGAAATACGGAGTGTAGTGCCTAACACGAAGATGTACCACTGAAATCATTACACTGAGGCGAAAGAGATCATACAACTTTGATGTAGTCTGCGAAAGCATTCTTAGGAACGAAAACTCAGTAATTATTCACATGTCTACTTATTTTCATACGTACCCGATTACATGAATTTTGAACAGACTCTACACAGGCAAGCGATAACAATTTACTTTCAAATTAAAATAATTATCGATTCATTCATCTAACAGATCTTGCAATATAGATCTGAAGTCTCCCTTTCCAATGTATATATTAAAGTCAAAAATTAATTGCCATCACATAGTATTATTGTGCATATTTCTCGGAAAGATTTTCAGAACATATTGCTCAGGTAATCATTTCATTTTAGATAATAATATATCAAAACACGGCCTGGTTCAGCCTCTTTGGATTGGTGAAACCCGAAACTCGCCAGCTACTGTCATTCTCAAGATATTTATCTTACGTCATCCCACACTTAACTCTGACGCCAACAAACAATAGTGTATCGCAAAATAGATAAAACGAAACAGCTACAGGAATTGCGCTACCAGCTTTCTTATGTTTACCAATTATATGATAGCAAGACATCAATTCATTATTAATGAAATCTTTTTTTCTAACTTCACGTCTATCTTGAGTTTTCATCCGAAACATTAGGGCACATATTTCTATTTATTATCTTATCATTTTGCACGATTTTGTGTAGATAATGTTGCACAGCGATAAACAATTATTCGACGCAAAATCAAGTAGCAGAAGAAAGACTAAGCATGTTTGCACGTTATCTTTATTTTGTTTCTTTCTTTTTATTCTGAAAAGCAGCTTCAATAAAAACACATATACTTCAGTGTAGAAATCATCACTATTGTATTTCATCTTCTAGATAATGGCAGCTCTAAGTGGCAGTATGTCAAAACTTCACAGAAAAGTAGCATTAGTTATAGGCAATCAAAGTTATAGCAAGAGGCCGTTGGCTAACTCTGTGAACGATGCCAATGATTTGGCTGATGCCTTACATACAATTGGCTTTGAAGTTACTTTGGGTGTTGATTGTACACATAAAAAATGGCTAATTTGATCGACGACTTTGCTGATAAAATTCAAGATCAAGATTTAGTAATGTTTTATTTTGCTGGTCATGGTTTTCAATATAAAGAGCAAAATTATTTGTTACCAGTTGATGCAGATGAAAAAATAAAGAGAGAAGCAGACATTAAATTTGATTCAGTTAATGCTCAAAAAACTTTAGAAAGTTTGTCATCACAAACGTCATATGTCACTATTTTTATTTTGGACTGTTGCCGTGAATATCTGTTTGATGATACAAGTAAATTTCGAGGTGCAAAAAGTAGTGGTTCGGGATTGCACGCCATGATAGCACCAGGAGGCACTCTTCTTCAGTTTGCATGTGCTCCTGGTAGCTTAGCAGCAGATGGCGGTGGTCAAGATAGGAATGGATTGTATACAAAACATTTATTGAAACAGATTGCCATTCCAAATAAGCATATAGATTTGATCTTTTCCTCTGTTGGTGCTGAGGTTTATAAAGAAAGTAATGGAAAACAAATGCCGTATCGTGTTAGTTCAATTATGATAGATGATAATATTTATTTGAATCTTATCGATGCTGATTCTAAACGGTCGTCTTCTCCACCTTCAAAGCGACCTCCAACTTCAGAAATGGTGAGCATTATTACAAAATTCTAAAAAACGATATGTTAAAACTGGTCGCACAACCTCTGTGGGGTTAAAACCATGAAATATGATCCAAGTATTGTTGCCAATTGTGGAAAACTTGGTCTTTCTTCTGCATATTTTGGCATATTTCAACATAATGGTTTACTTAACAGTCTAGTACTTCAATAAGAAAATAACTACTCCATAGTTATTCCAATCACATGCTACTATACACATAATTTTCGGCTGTTCCTGGAAGCCGCCTGTCACGGTTTGTGATGCGTCTGAATCCTGTCCTTTACAGTCGGTGACAGGACTGAAACCATAAACATCACAGCGTGTGACAGACGACTTCACGGGAGTATCAAATATCATGTGTATAGTAGCATCTGATTGAAATATCTATGAATTATTTGCCTGTTGAAGTTCTTGATTGGCAAGTAAACCACTGTGTTGAAATATGTCCAAAAATGCAGAAAAAAGACCAACTTTTAGAGCAGTAACTATACCGAGGAGAATGATTCCGATAGTGGGATCCTATCGGTATCCGAATGTGGATTCTACAATCGGAACCTTAATGTTCGAATCCGATAGGTTCCAGTGTCGGAATTTAACGAAATCCAACATAAGCATTCGACCTATGTGTTTTGTTGGCGCCATATGCTTATTTATTGGCGAGTAAGAAAATGTTTTTTTCCGTCAGATCCATTATTAGGTTCGTGACCAGGAATCTGATCGAATTTTGTCGACTTGTCGGATTCATTCACCTGGGATACAATGGTTAGAACGTGTTTCACATTTTTAATTCTACAGGGATTGCGCCGATAACTTTTAGATTGTGTTTCACGAAATAAATCAATCCTTTAATGTTTGTAGCTACTCACAACAAATGACAAGCAGAATCCGCAACCGACCTTGCCGAAACCATCATATTCAGGTAATAAGACAATTAGCTTTCTGTCCAAGTAGCATAGTAAAACTGAAAGACAACTTGAAGAAATGCAAATGAAGAATTTCTGATGCTAATGTAAGAAACCGAGACTTAGAAAAAGCATCTTAGCTGTTTGAAAATCAGCGATCATCTAATTATTATTTGATACCATTTTTCTGAACTTTTCAGAGACCTGTTTGATCTTTTTCGTGTTCTTTTTCTTCAATATAAAATAGCACGTTTTAGAACTGCTGACTCGATTCCAGAAATAAGTTTAATTTTTAACGAAACCAAAATGCTTCTCAAGTTGATTACCACTGACTTTTATCATTTCCAGTCGAAGTCTCAAACGTGACTTTGAAGTTTTTTCTGCATAATTTTCGATTTGTTGTAGATTTCTGAATTATTCATATCTATCGTGTATATAGTTTCATTGTTTCTCAGAAAAAAACTGACGACAAAAGTTGCAAATAAAGACAATTTTGGTCTGTTATGATTGACCATTAATTCTAAAAGAAGCACATCACCATTTTAGTAGTACCATACTTGAAAGTTCAATTTAATGTCCACGCTGAGCATAAGCAGTAGATAAAAGATTTAAGAAGATACAGAAAGATGCCCAGGAAAGTATTAGAAAATATAAAAAGGATGATCATTTGATCATTAGTTTTCGCTAGGGATTTGCTATACTCATTGAATAACACCAAACGAAAGAAGACTTATAGAATGAGAAAATTGAAGAATGACTCATGTCGACAGAGCAGTTCATATAGTTTAGTCTTATGATTTTGACTGATTTCGAGATCATGAATGGAAACATCCTATTGATTTTGCATGTATCTTAATCTTGTAACTAAACCGATATTGAGAATTTTTTTTTTCTATCTATTTCACTATTTTATATATTTTATCACTACTTTAAAATAACTATTACTAGATTATTTAGTTCTGTCTTGTTTGATCTCACATGAATAGAAGCCTACTTTAAAACTCATTATATATGTTGAATTTGTACATAGAAAGAAGATCGAAACTGTGTAGGCAATGGGAGATGATGTGTCGTAAGACAATAAAACTTTTCTTTTTTCGTTTTGTAAAGAAATTTCGAAAAACAAAATTTGTATAAATCAGTTTAAAACTATACAATGAACATTAGTTAGATACATATATGGAGTTGAATAGATAGGCAGAGAAATGTAGTAAGAATAATTCATACAAGTAAAAGCATCAGACAACTAAGCATTTTTAATGACTACGAATCGTTCATTATGTTAACTGATACATAGTTGAATTAGAAGTATCACATAAACATTTACAAATGGCAAGTGCTGCGCTTATTCGAGCGTGGTATTTTCCTATTTCACATAACTAGTTTTCTGTCTATTTATAATTTAAATACGTTTGAGAGAGAGAATGATAGCTATGCTATACACTGTAAACTAGAAAATAAGTTGTAGAGTTTAATGAAGGATACTTTAGGAATGCCTATATGAATTTCTAAATTCTTAAAAATAACATATTCAAAACATTAAAAATATGAACTTCGATTTGCTAATTGGAAAATCGAGAGTGAATTCATATAGGTGCATTCCTAGAATTTTAGATGCAATAGAGCAATTGGAATATATTTATAAAACTAGAAAATCGAATATTTGATTTTCTCGTCATCATGAAGCATTTATACTTGATGATGGAAATAAAATCAAATACAACATAAACAAATAAAATGAAAGCTAAAATAGAACAATGGTTAACATAAAATAAGCAGTAAAAAAATAAGTAAACATTATATTTGATCAGTAAAATAAATGAAATGATTAGTAAAACATAGAAATTTGGGTGTGGGTGTGATTCTTCTGCTCATCTACACTACCTGCACACCTTTTTTTGGAATTCTTTGATTTCCATTTATTCCATCATTTCCTTCCAGAACCTCTTTGTCTGAAATATCACTTTCATATTGAGCAACTTGTACGACTTCCATCTTTTTTACTCGTTGGCACTAAGCTGAATGTGAAAGAAAGGAGCTAAGCGAGTACATTTATATATGTTGTACTTATATCAGCTGTACGATATATAGAGACCAAAAGAACAAACATGAAAAAAAGTAAATCACTTTATAACACATTTCAATTTTTATAGTGATCCTTTAATCTAATTTACTGACTTTTGTGTACTCAAAAAGTGACTACACTACTAAAATCGGTCAGTGTGTCCGGCCGTTTATTCGATAACTCTTCACAATTACATTCGATTGAACTGAAATTTTGTGCGCAGAATTGTCTCATCAATATCTCGGTCGAGTTCGAAGATGAGAAGAATCCCTCAAGAAATGGTTGAGTTATCGAAAAAATTGTTATTTTTGACCAGACCATCCCTGAGGAGGGGTAGCTACAGGATTTTTTTTTCAAAAAACAAATTCTTCTCACAATTATTCACAACATTATAAATCGACTCAGTTTTTAACTCTGATTCCGAATCTGATATTAGTTTTGAACTAAATTGTAGCTTTCTAACGAAACATCGCCTGAAAAAAGTCTCAAGATGCACAAAAACTGCATCCAGAAATCAAATTGCCTAGTTTCTCATGATAATTTTGGTGTTCAAACATTCTAGAATGGTTTATATATCCCATGCACTTTTTGCAGTACACATAACTCTCGGATGAAATACGAAGTTTCCACATTTATTAAATAATATATCAATAAATCGAAGTATACTAATAACTGATCACACAAATAATGTACTGATCATTCGTTTATTCTACTGATCGCTTAAATGATAGCCAAAAAATAAAATGGAAAAAAGAAAGATTTCACAACACCTAATAGCGAGTTGAAGAAAATATAATGAAGGTTTAACATTATACCTACTGACTTATATACTATGACAGAACAATAACTAATTGACGGTTTTTGTTTCGACAATCTTGGAGGAAATAGAATCCATTTTTCTCGTTTTCAAATAATCTGTTGTGGATTTTCCAATTTATAGAATTTCAAAAAAGAAATAAATTACAGTGTATATTATGTGTCTGCGGATACAAAATTGGCACGTTCATTTAACAAATAATTTTAATATTTTTGACAAACATTCATAATACAATATTCGTTCTTCGTTTTGATCGCTTTTTAATATTAGATACGTTCTAATTTGCAAACATCACTCTTATATAATTTTCTCAAAAGAAAAAATAACTAGAATTCATCACTTGAAACTCCGATTGAATGGCTTTTTAATGTCTGCTTGGGTTAACAAGATGTAATTATTTAAGGCTGATTTTCTACAAAAATATAGAATTTAAATACGCTTGAGAGAGAGAGAGAGAGAGAACGATATGCTATATGTGTGATTCTTTCTATAGAATAATTTTCCAGTATAGAAAAAAACTTATTCTGAGGAATTTCTAGAAAAAAAGAATAATCTATTCAAAGAATTTCCCTCGATACTTTCGAAATTATTTTATATACTAGCTATACTCAAGAGAGAGAAAAGGAGAGATTTCCTTTTATTCTTACTCTTTCTCTTCTAGTTAATATTCCTGCTAATGCTAAATGGGCACAGAATGCAGTGACTATTGCTGGAGGTAACGGGGATGGGGATGCCACTAATCAACTCTACCACCCTCGTGGTCTTTTCGTTGATGATGATCAAACAGTGGTTATTGCTGACTGCTTTAATCATCGTATCATGCAATGGAAGAACGGGGATACAACGAATGGACAAGTTATTGCTGGTGGCAATGGCTACGTAAATAGATTACATCAATTGAGTCAACCAACTGATGTATTAATTGACAAAGAGACGGATAGTCTCATTATTTGTGATCGAGGGAATCGACGGGTTGTACAATGGTTTCGTCGTAGTGATACAACACAAAGAGAAATACTCATCGATAACATCCAATGTTATGGATTGGCTATGGATAAACAGAGATATCTCTACGTCTCTGACACCGAAAAACATGAAGTAAGACGATATCGATTGGGTGAGAAGAATGGCACTCTCGTAGCTGGTGGTAATGGTAAAGGTAATGATACCAATCAACTCAACGAGCCGGGATATCTCTTTGTCGATCGACAACAGACTGTCTACGTATCAGACCGCAACAATCATCGTGTAATGGAATGGAATAAAGGTGCAAAAGAAGGTATTGTGGTTGCTGGAGGACAAGGCCCAGGGAATGATCTGACAAAATTGTGTTCTCCTGAAGGAATCTTCGTTGATACGTTGGGTACACTCTATGTAGCAGACTCGTATAATAGTCGTGTAATGCGTTGGACTCAAGAAGCAAAACAAGGCACGGTACTTGTGCGTGGAAATGGCAGAGGAACAGGAGCAAATCAGTTCAACGACCCCGTTGGTTTGTCTTTCGATCGGCACGGTAATCTCTATGTCGTCGATTGGTATAATCATCGTGTTCAGCGATTTTCTATCGAAAAAGACTTGTGAATTACTTTTTCATTGTTTGTTTCTTTTTCTATACTTTGAAATAAATGAACAAAAAAAAGAAATTTTCTTTTACTCTTTCGCTTCAAAGAAAAGAAAAAAGCTAAAATATAAAATTACGTCATATGTTTCCTTTCTTCTTCTTCTATTATTTATTTTTTAAATGAAAATAAATGAATTAAATAAACGAATTTGTTTTTTTTCGTACAAAATATTAATTATTAAAGTGAAAAATAAATTGTGTCGTTTTTGAAAGTATTGATTATTACAATCAAAAATAAAATTTGCGTTATTTTTACAAATATTTATTATTGATATGAAAAAAAAATTTGCTTTTTGTGAGAATATTTATTAGTAAAGTGAAAAAAAATATTCGTATTATTTTTACAAATTTTATGATTTAAATGCAAAGAAAATTTGTGTTATTTAAATGAAAATTTGTTATTTTCGTAAAATATTTATGATTCAAATGTAAAAAAATATTTGAGTTATTTTGAAATTATTTATTGTTAACATAAAAATATTTATTAGTGAAGTGAAAATAAAATTTGTTTTATTTTCACAAAATATGTATTATTGAAATCTTTATCAAGCTTTTATTATTGACTTTATAACAACTTCATGGTGGACAAACTATGAGTCATCGAACTTTAACTTTCAAGCTTGTATTCAGCGGTTGAAGATGGGTCTACGAAAATTGGTCGAAAATTTTGTAATAGAAGAACAAAAGCTTTTTTTTAAAGCAGCCCGAACTTTGTAGTGTAAAGCTGAAACTAGCACTAATTGCATTATCATGTTAATATTAGAGGAAAATAGTGATTCCGACAAATAAATTAGGCATGCATAATAAACGAAAAGTAGTTTAGAACTTACGAAGAAGATTTTCTAATTATTTTAGTAACGTTGCCTGTTTTGAGAACACGGGTGACCACCTCAACCACACCCACACCCTTTTCTCGTTCAGTATCTCTTATGAGATGCTACATTACAGTCTTAACCTACAAAGAGGTACCTGAGATGTTATCATTTAGCAATAATTTCATATTTGGATCGCTCGTAAGGATCAGATCTAATTCAAACGGTATTCTTATTTATAGGTTTCAATCCAAATGTTTCAAAACGACAGAATAGACTTCGCATGAACCTTTGGTTTATTAAAAGAATCAAATTAAATATTAAAAACTCTTTCGGACTAAATAAAAGGTCATCCAACAATCCACATCCAGCTATACACAATAGTTAATACGTTGGATACACTTATCACTACATATTGAGACATGGAAAATAGCATTGTTGAAGTCTTACGCCAAAACTTGTATGATTGTTTATTATTTATTAAACATGGTCACCCATTTCAGTAGAGGATTAGCGACGCTTACGTCGCGCTACTCGTGGTGGAGTAGCTACTTATTTTTCAAAAATGTATGCTGTACTAGTGTAGATATTCTCTTCAATAATGATCCCCACATTCATACACAATAAAACCAGATACATTATCATTGTAATGCCCAAGTTTATCTTAACGTTTTCATATGAAATTCACGACATGCGAAAGAATCAGACCAATTACTTCAAAGGAGAAAAAACTCATTCCGAGCGATTCGAATGGTTGGGAATGCCCGAATGGCTCCCCCCCCCCTTGAAGCAGTATAATCTAATATTGACAGTAATCTCAAGTTCTTGATAAAATAGTTTAGGGATATGAACAAAACATTGTATAATATGTGAGTTTTATCTGAATTAAGTTGAAATTATTTTTGACACAATTTGATGTTAAAAATTAGTCTTGAACACTTTTTATAGGTGCTTCAGAGCTATTGGATGAATTTCTAAAATGAGTACAATATTGACAATTGATGCTCACTGCTAAAATTCATTTCTCTGTTGATTAAACTCATTGTATTCATATAGAATAACATGAGTAGATGGATATCCTATTAATTTAGTCCGTAACCTATAGAGATTTACCGTTCTATGATTGGCTTACTCCATGTTTCGCAAATATTCAAGTATGTTGAATAGTTTTAAAAGCTAGAATTTATTATTCCTAGATTTACTGAAGTCTGTTTTGATGGTATTTCAGTGTTATGGTGATATCGAGCACACTGTATAAAATTGAGCTACATTGCAGTAGTCGAACTTGAGAGAATCTCAGTATTATTAAAAGGGATTTGTGAGTAAAACTGTTAATTCATGATTAAACGTTAGATTATATCGGATTGTAGGCTAAATGCAAAGGAAAAATAGAGATGCATTTTTTTGAATTTCCTAAAAATAAATATTTTCATCGTTTTTTAAGAGTAAGAACTTCAACGTTGTTAATCTGGGCATGTATTTACGTGATAGACGACTAATATTTTTTCTTGTATTCTATTTAAAAAAACTATCAATTATTTGTTTTTTTTAAATGTGTGACTTTCTTTTAGTGACTAGATAATTTGATTTTTTCTATTATAGTGTAAGAACCATGTATTTACCGGAGAAAACTAATGATAACTATCTCATTAGAAAAACAAATGAAAATCTAATTGATATACACACATAGAAGTACCAGGAATCTAAATGAATAATAAATTGTATACTTCTTTTCAATCACATTCATAGTTAATAGTTCATATACTCGCTATTAATAATGAAACAGTTCATTCGATCGCTTTCAATCATAAAAAGTAATCACACCAATGACGATCAAATAGAGGATTATTGATAGTAACCATTCAAGTTTTAAAATAAATTATGTCTATTAAATTAGAGAAAATAATTCCAAAATGAGAATGATAGCTATTTTATTTATCATATTTTATATTAAAACACGCGCACACACATGTGAATTTGCTGAGATTACTTATTAAATATAAAACAAGCCTAAAGAAAAAATGGTTCACCAGAAAGAAAAACAAAGACAATAAACTAAAAAATAAGAAAAAGAAAGCATCAATAGTGGAATTATAAAAAAAGACAAATATTAATCTGCCTGTGTTGCATAAGATAAAATAAGAATTTATATATTTCGCATTGTTGCTAAATCTCGATCTGCTGCTTGTATTTCATCTAATTTTTTACTAAATATTTTCAAAAGCTTGCCAGAAAACTCTTCTTGTGAAGCAAGTAGTTTCGATACTTTTTGTCGTATTTTTTCATTTTTATCCATGTTATCATTCTTTGAATGTGCCTAAGATAAAAAATAAATAATTGAAAAATATTAAGAAAAACAGAAACAATTTAAATCGAAGACAATATATACTTGAAAACTTTCGTCAGTTGTAGACATAATATCATCTAAATCATCTTGTGTTAAATTTAATATTTTGCTGGCGGTACTCATCGCTGTATCATAGCCTGGTAATGCCATTGAAAATGATTCACGTTGTCTTTGATGTTCATGCGCTCGTTTCAGAGTATCATGGATTTGTATACTTCGTCGAACCATTTCATGAAGAAGACCCTACATTTTAAAAGCAAGCATAGTATCAAAACAAATAAAACAACTATATTCAATTACATTAGTAAATCTTTCATATTCGTTTAGACGTCGTTGTGTACGATTTAATTCGAATGTAATTTTGCTTAACGAGTCTTGATTTTTCGTATTTAATGATAATAATTGTTGTTCAGATAAACGATGAGATGCTAACAATTCTTGATTTAATTGTTCCTGATTAAGACGACATTGTCGAAGTTGTTGTTCAGTTGAACGATGCTTAGTTTGAATATCTTCAAGACGTATTTTCTGTTCAGATGAAATTTAGATTTGTTTCGAAATTCAACGGAATAATAAAAACAAAAAAATTCTCTTACTAATTTCTCATGTTCTTCAACCAATTGACCATAACGTGTTTCAAGAGTTTGTTTTTCTCGTGTTACAACTTGTAAACGATTTTTATATGAATCGAGCTAGAAAAGATTAAACAAAGAATAATTGCTTCTAATCTTAGAATCATCCTTAAATAGGCTGGAAGGATCTACGATGAATAGATCTGAATGATATTTGTCACTGTAAATTTTTTTTTTTATAAATAAAATATTCTATTTGGATTAAGAAAATAAACTTCTTTTGCTCGTTAAATCTCACAAAACTATGTAAAAAACCGCGATGTGTACAGAACAAAAAGCAAAATTCTACTCTACAGAGTTATACGCGAATCAAGAGTTTGCGAATATTGATTTAGAAATAGCTCAAAATTATTATGATATCAATGAATATAAGCATGTTCATTCTAATGTTTTCTGTATTTTAAATGATTTTAGACAAATCTTAAATCAGAAATGTTGTAAAACCGTGTAAGTCATTATTGAAAAAGGTGTTATTCCCAAGTGATTTTATGATATTATGTGATATCTGCAATATGAATTCAATGATAAATTTATCAAGAAAAAATAAACATTTTTTGTTTTTGCATTTCTTCGTCGCACCTTTTTCATCATCAACAAGTACTTTTCATATGATAACTCATTCGTTTTTGAATATTTGCGATGTTCAATAGAAAATTTATTCAAATTCATGCAGTCATCATCCTAATTTTATTTCCGAGTAGTACACCTTATAAACCTTCGACAATGTTCAACATCTTGTATCAATCAAATTTCTCTAAGAGAAAACACTCTTTTAAACGATTTAGTGCGCTTTTTTATTCATATACTTACTGAAACTCGTAATTTTTCCATCGTGTCTGTTAATGATTTGAGTCTTTCTTCGTCATTCTATTCGAATTAGAAGAAGAAGAAGAGAAAAAAATATATATACAATAAATAGTCATGTATGAATATGTTATTTACGTCGGTTGTAAGTTTGTCATTTGAACGATTAAGACTTGTTTCCAATTCACTCAGTCGAGATTTGTAATTTTCAATTAAAACTCTTTTGCTTGCTACGTCGCGTTCTGTATGTGTTAATCTATAGAAATAAAAAACAAAGTAAATAAAATAATTTTCATGTTCGAGCTAGTTGATTATACTTTTCAGTTAGAGATTGAAGATTTTTCGTTAAATTTTCATTATCTGTTTGTAAAGTTTTATTTAATTTTCGTTGTCGAGAAGCATCGAATGAAGTATTTTTAAGACGTGAATATAAATTATCTACATTTTCACCACCGTCAGAAATTAGAGAATCATTACGTCGGATTTCTGGTTCGGGTAAAGTAGATTGAATGGGACGGTTATTTTTAAATTTATCGCATTCATCCATTAGTCTCTAAGAAATCATTAAAACAATATTTTAAAATAACGAGCATTACTTCAAAAAATATAATTCAAACTTGATTAGTTGTTTTAAGAATATTAATTCGACTAAGTGTAGTTGATAAGCGTTGATGAAGTTGTCGATTGTCTTCTTTCGAATCAGCAAGCATCATTTCTAATTGTTCAATACGTCTACGCATTGTGCCAATCTAATCAGAAAAGAAGATCGATTGATTATTACTTAAGTAAATAATAATTTACTCTAGTTGGATTTTTATATGCTGTTGAAGGTATTGAAGGTTTTTTAACACGATGTGAATAAGAATCATTATGAAAAGAAGTTACTAAACGACTTTTATTAGTATGATTTTTCTTTGATGGGATATCTAAAATGAAACAATCGAAGGATTTCTATTAGAAGAATTTTCATTTAGTGACAAACTTTTTCTTTTTGATATTGTTGATGTCATTGATGGTCGTCTTTTACGTTTCAATAATGAAGATTGAGTATGATAATCACATAGACTACATGTTCGCTGACGTTGTCGTTGCCATCGGTTTCTATCATATAAATCTGATTTTAATGGTGACATTCGATAAAGTATTGATGATTCATTATGAAGATCATCAATAAATGTTGAACTTTGATTTTGATCCAGTAGCACTTCTAAACAAGACGCTTTTGGTTTCTTTTTAACTAGTCGTCTTTTTAGAGTAGACGATGAAGTAATAACATTTTTTTTATTGGCTGGTTGATTATTTCGTTTTAATTTATGTACTTGATCTTGTAACGAAAGTATACGAAGTTTTAATTTTTTTATCTCATTTGCAGCTTGTGTTCGTTGTTGCATTAGATGTTGTTTTTCGTCAACACATAAATCAAGATTAGTTTTTAAACGTTCATGTTCAAACACTAAACATGTTCGTTCATTTTCAAGTTCGTATAATTTTTTATTATATCCTTCAACTACACGTTGTTCATTATCGTTGGATCTATTTGGTAATGGTAATGGAATTTTCAATGGAGATCGCTCATCTTTATCATTTAATAATTGAATTTCATTACGAAGTTCATTAATAACAATTGTTTGTTCATTAATTTCGACTTCTTGTAAATCAAGTTTTTCATTTAAACTTAAACTAATAGACGAAAAGAATTTCTTCAAATGAATGCAAAACAAAACAGAAAAAAAAAAGTTTTATTTACTTCTCGTTAATTAATCTGGCATTGTCACGTCGCAATTTTGTTACTTCATTCCACACACCATCATCATCTTCATTTTTAAATATTCTTTTACTTGTTCCTATTTGTCTTCTTCGTCGTTCATTATCACATACAGTACAACCGATTTTATTCTTTCGTATAACTTTACCATAAAAATAATCATTATTGTTTTTCTTTTGACATGATTCGTCATCGATATAAGATTGTAATTCATCTTTGAGTGAACGATATTGTTTTTGTAAATGTTTTAAACGTAGCCAACGTTTATCATGGACTTTTTTCAATGTAGTTATCTGTTCGTCACGTTGAACAAGTAATTGCTGAACATTAGCTAAACGATCTGTTAATGTACGAATTTTAGTTTTCAAATATTCAGTATCTAATGCAGACGATGAAGAATAATCACGAACTGGAGGAGATGTACAACGCGTTTTTGATGGTGACGATCTACGTGTTCCGAAAGCAAAGTTGACTTTATAGTAAATATTCTTTTATCAATTAATTACTTTCCGATCGGTGAACTTCGTCCAATATCTTCACTACTTCGCCAACGATTATCATTAGATAAACCGGTTGCCTATAGAAAGCGAGAGAAAGAAAGAAAAGAAAGACAAAAAGTTTCAATATTCACTGATCAAGAACAAATATTTACTGTTGCTAATTTATCTCGTACGTGTAGGAGAGTTACTTTTAAATGTTCGATTTCATTATCACGATCACCTAAAGCCTAAAATTTTAAATAATTCATATAGAAAAAAAGATGCATAAATATCAAGATGGATATTCTTAAATATATTTTCCCCTTAATTAATCATTTACCGAGTTCTCTCATTAATGATTTCAAGACTCCATATATATATATATATATATTCTTTAGATGAGCCAAGAAACAATTCTCCAACAAACGATAGTTCATTAAAATTTCAGTCTCAAGTGTGTCGTTTGTACAGTCATTCTTATATAACACGATGCATGGCAATATTTATGACACTTCTATTAACATTTCGTATATCGAAACTTGAATGAAATATATCATTAAGTATCTCACACAATTCTTTCATATTTAATATTATAACTCTCGAGTGTATTGCATTGAAGCTCCTTGATGGAAGTCATAGGATGTCTTTTTGAAGAAAAGAAAATTAGTAGCTGTATAGTATATGTCGCAGTCTTGCGATTTCCTTCTCATTGTGACAAGAGTCAAGCGTCAGAGGTCAATTGGGCATATTTTCCGTAGCAACGAAGTGGATTAGAACAGAGGCATGATTGAAGTCATTGTATGATTCTCATAGCGGCCGAAGACAAAAGGCATGTAAGATTATTCTCTAAGTTCATCAGTAATGTAAAACAGGTATTGGATAAATTAACAACAACGCAAAAAGAAGTGCTCTAGAAAGAATGGAATAATAAGATTTCTAAATTGTGTAGGATCGGAATTTTGTGCAAACAAAAATTCATGCTGAAGATGTCAATGTTAATAGTTAGTGATGTCTTACTCTTTTAAAACAATTATCATATAATCAACAAGGGAAATATCAACGAATTGAATTATTGCTTCTAGCTATAATCGATATCAGTGTTTTTGTGTCTATCGAGATATAAACAATAGTGTACTGAAATCAGCTACAGGCATAATGAATATGTATAACTGTTTTACTTGATATTTCAGTCAATGGTTAGAATAATAATAATAATGATGGTAATGATGTTAAATAAAGAAAACACGAAAGAAGAAAATGATAAAAGAAAGAATAACAACAACAGAACTAAAAAGTCTCTCTATTCAAAATGCGACAACTCGTTTTCCTAACAATCAATAATCCTTGAACAACAAATAAAGTCTACTAGAGATTGTTTACTTTATATATTTTGCATTAATATAATGAGTATGAAGAACGCATGCACATTCAATATGTTAACCCCTTAAGGGATGCATTGGCAAACTTCTCTTGTTCTTTTCAATGACAAGAAATCCTTTGATGAATAATAAATCTGTTTGTTTACTTCGTTCAATTACTGTTATTATAACTAGTGTATATATTGCGTGCTCTACTGTTTCTTACATGATTAAAATATGAAATTCAAATCGTTGTCCGTATAATTTCAAGAGAATTCTCGTTTACATTTAATAAGACAGTGAAGGATGCAAATTTTGTGGATTTACTTACTGTTTGAAGCGTAGCTATTTGTAATCGCTGTGAATTATCTTCGAACTCTGTATCTATGTTGAGAAAAGCAACATAGAAAAAAGTTGTTGTTTAATTTATTTGTCTACGAATTTACTAGTTTGTTTTTGCTTATGTACACCGTTGATTTCTTTCCTACAAAAATAAACAAATAGAGAAAAATATTATGATGCTTGACATATTTTTCCATTAATTTTATACTTGAGATTAGCAATAGTTTCATCTCGCTCTTCAATAGTTGCTTTATAGGAATCAAGTTTTTGTCGCCAAAGTTGAGTATCAGCAGCAATACGATCGAATGTCTAATATAGAAACAAGAAAAATTTAATTTCAATAACATATTTTTCGAGACAAAACAAAAATAGAATATACCAGAATTTTTTCTTTATTAATGACTTCATAATTTGACTGTTCTCGTAATTGTTTTGTTAGATCATTTACATGTTCACACAAACCTAGTATTCGAATGATCTCACTATTAGTAAAATAGAGTAAACCATCCGATATGCCTACGTTCATTTTCGATTTGACAATCGCGTATTGTTTTTTCAAAAGTATGTACTTGTAACTGATGTAATTGTTCAAAGGTTCGTGTCTAAAATTGTTTTCTTTTGTATTAAAATTCAGAGAAAGCACTGTTGATTAACCTTCTCTTCGAATTGTCGCAATTGTTCTTCGAGTGCACGAAATTCTATATTTCTTTTCTTAAGTGTATCCTCTAAGCATAGTTCACTAGATAAATATAAGGAAATCGAATCGAATATATAATAAATCGGTTAATATTTTGCTGATTCATTTTTTTACCGTTCTTCAAGTTTGGTAATGGACGCATTTTTTTCTTGAATGACTCGTTCAAGTTTTTCAATTAATTGCTCACGATTTTTTGTTCGAAGTTCTTCACTATTCAATAGCATGAGCTGATGTTCATTTGTAAACCTTGAAGTAGAACATTACAAAAAAAAAGCTGTTACGAAAAGTTCTTATTCCACGCTCGTACTGTGGTCCAATAAAGGCGTCCGATGACGGTTGAATACCATTCATTCCTGCCATATATAATTATGAGATATCTTTGTACGAAAAATTCATTTTTGATTATCGATCATTGCGGTTGAATTCTATTATTGTAACCTAGGCAACTCTCTCTTCGTTGATTTATCGATAGTATAGAAAGTGCACAACTGTGTTGCATATGAAGAACGAAGAAAAAACGACTGTTGAAAAAAATCGCGGCTTTTTTAATTTTCATTATAAGAAAATAAATTCAAATAAATTTAATCAATTTTTATATTTCAAAATGTTCGTTTAGGAAATTTTGTTGTTCGGAGGAAATCTATTTTAAATAATCGTTCATTGTTTCTGAACAAGGGTCGTCCGACAATAATAAAACTATTTCTAGTCTATGTTTCTTCTTTTTTTGTATCTATACATTCTCGATAAATCGTCGGTTATTTTCATTCTTTTTCCTTCAAAATTTAAACGGTCGGTCGATTAACAACTAATCTAATAATAATGCCACCAAAAAAAGCCGCTGCCGCCAAAGCAACAACTGAAACTGATGCTGATCCAAAATCAGCACAAGCAAGTGTTTAACAATGAAGTTCACATGATAGAAATTTGTTTATTTAGAAGAAACAGGATGAAGAAAATCAACAACCGACAGAAATCGAGCAGTCAAGTCCAAAGAAAGCTACAAGTGAATCAAAAAAGGCTGCTGTAGTAAGTTATACTGATTATGAATTTCGCAAAGAATTATAATTCTTATCAATTAGACTAGTAAAGCTGGTCAATCAAGAAAGAAAGCTGCGGCTGAGAAACTTCAAGAGGAAGCATCTGGTGTAAATATATCTTTGTTTTCATCCTAGCTTTTATAGATATTTTTTGAAATTTTCAGTTTATTGAACGTACTAATAAAAAATCAGAAGCAGCTGATGATACAAACGAAGAAGATAATGATGATGAGCAATCATCAAAGAAAAACAGTAGTGCATCAGCAGCACAAAAGAATGGGATCGCCGCTGAAACAAAACCAGCGGCAAAAGCTACTACAGGTCGAGGTGCTAAACGGCAACCGGCTAAAAACATGGCTAAAAACGATGAAAAAGACGAAGAAGAACAAGAAATTGAGAAAACAACAGTTCCGGCTAAAGCTCCGGCTAAAGGCAAGATCGCAACTGCTGCGCAAAAAAATAAAAAAGTCGAAGAAGATGAACAAAAAGATGCTGGTAATTCATAAAAGATCGTTGCAAATATTTGAAAGCACACTTTGTCTTCGTTCAGGTACAGGTGAAGATGATGAAGCTGAAAACGAAAATGGTTCACCGAATAAAAAATCAAAAGGTAAAACTGCTCGTAAACCAGCTCAAAAAACAAAAACAGCTACACCAGAACCTGAAATGGATCATGGTAATAAGAAAAGCAGGATGACATTTTTGCAACAAAAAAAAGAAGATTATCTTTTAATTTTTAGAACAAAGCGATGAAAATGAGACAAAAAAGAAACCAGCAACTACAAAAAAAGGAAAAGCTGCAAGCTCATCAAAAAAGCAAACCGCAGCTGTTGAAAAATCTGAAAATGAAGAACCTGTAAATGATGATCTTAATTTGTCTGAAGATGAAGAACCTACGGATGATAATTCAAAAGCTACAACAACAAAGAAAGGTCCAACAAAACGATCGGCACCAACATCAGGCAAAAAAGCCGGTGCAGCTCCAGCTAAAAAGAAATTACAAAGCGATGAGCCATTCGAAGATCATACGAATGAGGAAAAAAATGAAGAAGCTGAAAATAATACCGAAGATGGTTAGTTGAATATTTGATTCATTTTTTTCTTGTCTTGTTTGTTGCATGCAGTTTTCCTTTCTTTTTTTTTCTTTATAGAAGCTTCAACAGCTAAACAAGCAAAAAAAGGGCGTCCAGCTACTAAAGCTCCAGCATCGACATCCAAAACAAATAATCGTTCTGCGAAGAAAACTAAAGCTACATAAAAATGAACAAACTTCAAGAGTAAAAAACTAGTCAGGCTTTATTTTCATATTATCGTATTGCTTCTAGCTCTTATTCTATGCTGATTGTACAGATATAATACTCTTTGATTGTTCTCTATTCTTTCTTACAATCAAATTCTTATGTGTTCTTTCTTGTATTTCAACTTCAACTTAATTGTGAAAATTTAATTGATCGATTAAAACACGAAAAAAATTCAATAATAAAACTTAGATAAAATGATATTCATAATATCAATAAAAGATGATCAATGTATCTCTCTTATATTTATAAGAAATCAAGAAATAGAATAGTTAAATTCATATGAACTTCTTGTTCAACCTTTTCTTAATAAAGTATTTCTCTGATACAGAATATATATTGTACACATTGTATATCACTAACGATGCAGTTATTCAACTGATATAACAATGCATATTCGAGATGATCACCTGCAGGTATATTATACAAAATATTATTGATTGACCAAAAATTAAGATATATATGTATATTGTTGAAAAATGACACCATTTACTCAATAGTTATATAATACCGCCCATTATATATCCTTACTACTACCATATAAGAGTGCTTAGTATGAGATAGAGTAAAATATTTGAATTAAAAATAGTTGTATACTTCAGCATTCGTTTTAGATTATGCTTTCCAAACGCACTTATTCAATTGCTCCGAGGTACTATTTTAAATTGGTGCATAACAGTTTCTATCATACTGATGTTCAAGCGAATGTATTCATTGTTGTTGCTAATGTAGATGTGACTTTTGCATTTGGTAATACAAAAGTTTGGTATACTAGAACGTTACTTTCTAGGATATACTCAGTAATATGATAAGATGCTTGTTTCTGATTTGTATTATCTTGAAGAAAAACATCGAGGTCATTCACAGATTGTAAATATATCTAACAAAACATTCTCTACAATTTGATGATTGAGTGATGATGATTTTTTATAACGTTTATGTCTTCATTCTTTAAAACGTTTTTGTTATCCGTGAAATTCGATTCTACAGTTCAGTAAGTCATAATAGGCACATTCAAGACACTTTTCAACAACTACATCAAACACTTAAAAGTTATGCATGATTGTAAAATGCCAAACCGAACACAACAATACTTTTTCAGTCTATCAAACTTTCATACATACTGTTGCCGATAATATTCAAAAGCTTTATTATACTATATTCATTTAGGATAGCTAAACATAATTACAAGCATAAATATCTATTCATCTTTCTATTTTACTAATACCATTTCTAAAGTTATTGCTATTGTTTGCTCAGAGGAATAATCAATTAAAATATTTTTATTTTATTGAATTAATTATTCGAATTACACGAAAAGAATGAGTATTTTTTCGGTTTGCGTCTTTACCATTCAATATCGAATTTAACTGGCATATGATCACTAACACGTAAAGCTTCTTCCAAGTTCATACCCATTTGTTTTTGATAGTTAACAGTTGTATTACTCTTTGGTACGATAGCGTTAACAAATTTATCACCATTGATAAAAATACGATCATATGTGCATGTTTGTCGTGTGTTTGTTTTAACTTCATTGTTAATTATCCATGTGAAGTCAGTATAGTCGATGGATCTAAAAAAAAGAAAAACCTCTTCAAATAAAATTGCTTTCAAATATGATTGAAAACAAACCGAAGGGATTGTTGACGTTTAAGTGAAATGTATGAACAATCAGCATTGAAGTCACCAACAATCAAAATAGGGTGATTCGTTTTCAAACTTGGTTTATTAGTAACTGTTGCATTAATAACATTCTGTTCCAACGCACTGGCAAGTGATGTTGGTGTTTCATCGAAATATTTTGGATTTCCCGCAATAAAATCTTCGATAACATAACGCATATTAAGTAATTCTACGTACGCATCATCAGGACGTAAATGAACATCCATAACAGTAAAGAATTCAACACCTGATTTCACTGGATTTTTAACTTTGAAGGTACCAATAAAACTAATTAGTAAATAATGAAATTTATAGCAAGAAAAAAATCAAATTTCAATTGAGCTCTTACGGTGGTCGTTCAAAACGATCTTCAACATCATCATAAAGATAAGCCTGAACTACTTCAACACCTGATGTAGCCTCACGATTGAAGAAAATGAATTGTTCTTTTGTTGCTGAACGTCCAACACGACCACTTAATGTCATAGTGTATGAATTTGACGTCGAAATTTGATTGAGTGCTTCATGTAAAACGTAAGGAGCTTTTAATGAAACATCACTAATTTCTTGAATAATTGCCAAATCGAAGTCACTAATAATTTGAGCAACAGTATGGGTCAATGTTGCATTAGCTGCTTTTTTACTTCCGTATTGATGTAAATTAAATGAACCAATACGAACAGCTGAAACATACGTACCAAGTAGAATGGTTACTAGCAAGATATTGGAAATGAGTTTTATCATTCTAATAATGTCAACCGTTATTTTTCAAGGGAAAATTGTTGGTTCTGATTGCATTGGAATAATATTTTACTTCGATATTTATTTCAAATGAGCTTCATTGATAATTTCGTGGCTTTAGCTTTGAATTACAATTCACAGGTGGGAAAGAAAAATAAAGCTTGTTTTTGTTGCAGACTTAATGGATTTATTGATCATTTTATTTTTATTTAAAATAATGTTATTATCAAGATCATGTTTCAATAGTAATTTTCTTTTTTCTTTTGTCTATTATAATTCTATTTGAAATCATCGAATAATAAAATAAAAACGTGAAGCACCACAAATCTCATCAACGCATCCTATAAATGTAATTGCAATCAAAATCTTTTATTATCCTACATATGAAGATTTTTCTATAATTAATAAATATGTTTTTCATCGATATTTCAACTTCAATACAGTATCGAACGTTTTCATTTAAGACTTTTTCTTTTCGTTTTAATATAAATTAGAAAAGAAAACAATATAATCATAAATAGATCAATGGTCGATGAAGAATACTTTGAATGAAATGAAAAATTTCTGATATGAATCAGTTTGGATGTATATCAAAGTTTAGTGTAAAACTGTATATCTATCGTTTAGGACATGTCGTCTAAATCAAGAAAAATCCTCTTATTAACTGAAGCATGTGACAAAATATTTTATGCGTCGATAGAAAATTACAGTAGCAGTATGATTCTAGGGAACGTGAAAAAAGAAGGATTTGATAATGGCATTAGACTAAATAGTTGAATCATTAAAAGAATTGAAACTCAATCGCTTGGCTTCTGGTTACTTTTTAACTCCATACTAAATAGAACGATTGATTGGATCATTTTCGATGCGATTCTCAGAGATAGATATGTCCTCTATACTCTGGGTGCAATGATATATCAGTTTACGTTATAATCGCCGAAATAAATATGAAATATTGAAATGTTGCTATCAATTATGGTTGCATGGCTATTGCTAAGTTGTCATATCACCTGAATAGGCTTCTGATCTTTTCAATTATTATCAAATTATTTCAAATAAACTTTTTTTGTTCATCATATTTTCAATATTGCAAGTTGTGTGTATTTGTTCGACCCATCCACATTTAATGAAATCAATTACATGAAAATAATCGTTTGCCGATCGTTTCTTTTTATTATCTCTTCTTACTTTTCACATACGTCAAAATAGAAAGAAAAGTTGAACTCTTATTATTTGCGATAAAGATCATATTCATGCATCGTGAAAAAATAGATGTAAAACAAAACATAAACGAGGTGGGGAAATATGTGTAAGATATTTAACAATCGATTCAAGAAAAAAAGAAAACAAACGTTATATATTTATATAACAAAACAATACACGCGTGTCGTTCATGAGTAGACAAGAAATAAAACTAGATTAGTTTTGTACTTCTTCGTTATTGTCTCTAATGATAAGGTCGAAGAAGAGAATCAGTGAAATTTTAATGATTATGGCACATTATGTAAGATTAAAAATGAGTTAGAAAAATCCAAGTGGCTTTTTAATATTGGTTTGTTTCCAATACGGTAAAGCATAAAAGTCATCTTTAGTCATACGAAATTCCTTCTATAATAGGAATAAAAAAAGAGAAATTTTTTTCTTCTTCTAAAATTGATACAAGAAAAGAAAAACAGTCATACTTGAAAATCTTCATTGGAAAGATACGATTCAATTTTTGATGGATCAACACCTAATATTAAATTTTTTTCATTACAAATGAAAGGTATTAAAAACTGCAAACCTTCTGGCAATGGGCGACTTTGAAGTTCTTCAATACTATATCGCTCGCGACATAGCTGATTGAGTACATCAATAACTGAATCTCTTTGATTTAACTTTCTACCTTCCTAAAAGTCAAATGGATCATACAATCAAATATAAAATAACAATAACAACGGATGAAGCATAATCAATCGAGCTAAGTGTAAACATTCCTCTTATTTAGATACAGACAAAATATTCTTTCATTTATTTATTCTATCTGAATGAACCAGTTGCAGATATTCAAACTCGCTCTCTTTTGATATATGAATAGATATTATGCATGAATATAAATAAGAGAAATGTTACATTTAGAAGCAGTACTCTGGTTTACTATTCACTGCTGAGTCTTTTTTTCACTAACCAATTGATTTTGTTGTCGAGCTTTAACATTTACAGTCCATTTAGGGAATAGATTAATAAATTCAATTGGCTCTAAACCAGCATAAACAATCAAACATGGTATGTCAACATTGGATGAACCAGTTTTGGCTACAAATAAAAAAGAAAATTTCTAGTAAAATCAAAATAGATAGCGTTTTATTAATTTACTTTTGTAATAATCAACAGCTGTACGCAGAGCACAACGACGTTCAGTTGTAAAACGAATATCTCTTGGGCCATGTGCCAATAAATTTGCATTGAAAAGTTGTAAGCCAAGTTCATCATCAGATTGATCAACCCATCCTTGCCAAATATATAATTCAGTGCCAGCATCAATCAAACAGAGAGCTGGCTGATGAAGTTCGTATAGATCAGCTTGTGTAAATGGAAATGGCGAGATATGATCAGGAGAACGAAGAGGATAAAGAAGTTCTTGAGCAACAAATGGACCATGAAGACTTGATAAATGAAATATACGCATAGTTGATGAAAGTCTTGGAATAGGTCGAACTAGAAAAGAATCATAATTAAAAATATTGAAAAAATACAATAATAGTCAAACTTTTTAACGCAAAGAAGAACATCATGAAGTCTAACCTCAATTTGGATGAACCCTGCGGTATTTCATTGATCTTACCTTTTAATAATGAATGATATTTTCGTTCATGATTTGGTTCGTTAATGCCATCCCAAAATAATTCGATTTCATCGCCTTCTTGCATTTCAAAGAACTCAATATCTTCATATTCGCCGTCGAAATGAAATTCTTCGGGACATCTAAATAAATCATGATGCATTTAAATCAAAACAAAACATCTCTCAAAACTAACCTTTCACGCAATTTCATTGCTGATTTACTAGCTAACATTTGTTGTTCATCAGTTGTTGCAGAACCATGCCAAAGTAACATCAAATTTTCATGATTATTAATTAATAAAAACGATGTTCTACTACGGAAATTAGCACTATTTACATTTAACTCCCACCAATGTGTTTCAGTATCAATTTCACCAAGAAAAATGTATAGACGCCAATATGAATTTTTCTGTATCATTTGATTACGTTTACCCAAATGAATAGTTAATGCACCATCAAATAATTGTAAAAATGCGGCTTCTTCATGTTCTTGAATAACATGAATCTAAATGATATTCAATAGGTTAAATAAATCGAAAATAAACTGAACAAATAGCTTACATGAGGTCCTTTGTCTTCGTTGAAAAGTATTGTCATCAACGCTGAAAGACCTTTTTCATTTGGACTAGCATTAATACCTTGCCATATCCAAAAAGCAACTCGATCACGACCTATATCTGGCTTTCGTTCTAATGCTGAACCATTTCCAATTTGAATTAGTTTGTATTTCCATCGAACAATATAAACATCTTCAGAATAAAATTGTCCATAACTTGATTGAGATAATTCATGTCGTTCATTATCGCTAACATGCCAAACATTCAGATCCATGGTTTGAATCTGATGGCCGCGCATTTCAATCGGATCGTACCTTGAAAAAAAGCAAAGTTTAGAATAATGCTATAAGAATAAAGCTTAAAATGAATGCTAACCAATATTGTCCTCGACCTAAATTAACTTGTTCAAGGATTATATTCACTGGACTTTCTTGTGTAGAAAGCATATTATATACATCAGCTGGTTTAAGTGTTTCAACAATTGATGGTGGCTAAAATTTATTAGATAGATGCATTTAGTAAAATATCAAAAACTAATATTATTAAGCATTCCAGTAAATATAAATACATACTCGTTGTGTAGACAATAGTTTATTGACGTTAGTTACTGTGTCATTGATTGATTTGATTTCTTGAAAGTCACTTGGCCAATCATGAAATTTTCCTTTAAATAATAGAGTTTCAACATTTTGATTTTGTTTTCCAAATAAACACCATGTTGGTCGTTTGATACCTGATTGACTAGTTTGGTCATTTTTATCTAATTATGAAAAAAAAATATGAACGCTAGATTTGATTTCAATGAAACAAGTGGCTAACATCAATAGTGTATTCTGTTATGTTAAGTTATAGTATTATAAGTGAGGAGATATCTAATCGATGTTAAAAAAAATTTAATTTTTAGACATGAAAGTTCTTTTGCAAATTGTAGAAGAATGAACGAAAAAATCTTTGAAACAAAATAATTTTCGAACTAAATTGTGATGAAAACTTTGTTTTTTCAAATAATAAAATTTTCCAATCACTACAACAAATGATTGTCAACATAACTCGAAAGATTCTGTCTCCTCAGAAAAATGTTACATTCCGGAGGTTGTTCATATTTGTTTTTGTTGAATTGCCTATAATTTCGCTCTCTTATGATTATTTACCATCTATAGGATCAAATGGATTAATAATACATTCACTGTAATCATATGAATCGTTCCAAAGTTGTTGTGCTAATTGTAAGCCCATATTTCGCTTCGTTTTATCGGCAAGTTTACCATTCCAAACATACAATTCCGAACCAAAATCGAAAACAAACACATCGTTTGAATCAAGCATTTTAATTGATAATGCACGAAAACATAGATCATGTAATGGTATAAGTGATTCATTTTCAACACGATAAACACGATTCAATTCTGTTACATTCGTTTCATAGAAATCATCATCGGTTACATAATCTATTAGCTTATAATCGTCGATTTCACCTTGTAGAATATCACGAAATTCTGCATGACTATCATTTTCTGTATCATCTTTAGCTTGATCCAAAACAAAATATTTTACTTCGTTACGTAAACCAAAATCACGATGTTGCTTTAAATAATCAATTAGATCAACTGCTTTAGCTTTTTCAACTACATTTGCATAACGACCAAACCATGCAAAAACTTTTAGCGGTGTCACTAATAAATAACAATCACCTTCATTAATCGATTCATATGCTGGATTAACAAGACGCAAGACGCATTGACGACGTCCTTTTATTAAAATAAGCATTAATTCCTTGTATGGCTCAAAACCAGATTTTGTTATCGGTGGCTGATCTATTCGACGTAAATTTATTTCAGCAAAATTTTCTCCTGCAGTTAAATTTGCTAAAGCTTCTTGAGCAACACCAGCAGTTTCAGCAACTAAACAAAATAATATAATTTACATAAAAAACATGATTGGTATAGAAAATTGGCATACAGACAAATTTTTAGGTCTATAAAAACTATTAATGAGCGTTTGAAAATTTAAGGACGCAAACGTGACTAGTAGGAATAGCTTAGAACTGTCTATGCTTTTATTGATTCCTACAAATTATAAATGTCACCCCTTGTTTTTTTTCAAATAACATTGAAAATAGTCTTATATTTTACAGTCGATGTTAATCGCAGCTATTATTTTTGCTTTTAAATTTATGATAAATACTCTTTAAATCAATTGGAAGATTTATAGAAAGTGCAATACGAATCAGAAAAAAAATTTCGTTTGTGACATGAATCGTTTTTCAAAGCGCTCCTTATTGAATTAGTAGAAAGTGAATCTTATTATTTGTCTTATACTTGTGATTATCGAAAATATGGCACAATTCCATGATTTCAAAATATTTTAAAGTGCATGTTGAACATATTAAATTTAAGTTTTTTACTCTATTGTTTTTGAAATATTAGTCTATGTAAACTGCATACTTTCAATTATACTAATCTTTTCTTTTTTTTTTGTTCTTTAAACAGTTTACGTTTGCGCCATTTTCAATCACAATCAATATTGACGAAGATTACTCGATTTATAGCTGTTACCGAATTAAATTATTAAGAGAAATCACTATATACCAGTGGCACTTTCTTTTTCGCTGCTATTAATTCGAGTAAATACTCAGTTAATCTAACTCGTAGCGATACGACATGAACAGATGTTGCTGTTTTTTTTATAATGTATAATATATGCAATGATATTTTTGTTTTGTTTTTCATTTGTATTTTCTACTAGTTAACAATGTAAAGATCAAATAAACACGAAAAAGTCTTTCTCACGCAAGCTTGCATGAGATAATTAATGAATTAATTTCTGAGGGAAAAGAATGATTGTTTTTCCATACTTTGTGCTCGTTTTAATCGGCGTACTTCTTGCTCAGAAATATTAGTATGTATTTCTGTATATTCATTTTCTGTTGGTATTGTTGCTTGAATTTGTCGCAGGGGATTTTTTGCTCCCTGCTGTTGACGACGTGGAGGCCGAGCACGAGCTCCTTGTGGTTGCAATCTAAGTAGATTACAAAATAAATGTAAAACAAAATGTATATTACCATCATAATTTTATTTTACCTAACAGTATTTTGAGCTATTCGATTAAGATCATCAGTATTCAATGGAACAGATGGTTCATCATTTAAGTTTTTACTTGTATCTGCAAAGAAATCATCGAGATGATCATCTGGTCTTAATACACATATTGTATCGGATTTTAATACGGAAATTATATTGTTGTTAGATTTCGATAATGCTAAAGAAATATTAATAGAAGACACGAAAAAGTTGATCTATCTCGTTTACTTGTACTACTGGTTTTATTCGCTTGTGAATTTATTTCATTAGTATCCTTTGTTGTAACAGTTGAATCTAAAGAACAATACAGAAACACATAAGAAGGAGTACAACTTTTCAAGGTGAACATGAGCTTTCTATTGAATTACTTGTTTGTTCAATAGGAACATTTTTTTCCATACATTGTCCCATAGGGTTTACACTATTCTATGTTGTTTATGAGTCTTTATGATGATTATGATGATGATAATACATGTATTTTGTCATATCTTCAAAAAAAAATCTAATCCACCTCCGTCAACAAACAACAAAATACTTTATGTCATCTCTTAACGTTAAAATAGGTTATATGTTACTATCGACAAAGAGACTAAGTCATCAAACAAGTTCGATAGGAAAAACGGAGAACGAGAGAGGGAGAGAGAGAGAGCAACGCGTTTTCCTTCATCATTATTATGTAAGAGATGACGTCTTATACTCATATAAAACCAAAGCAAAGTAAGAAACAGCCAACGGCATTACTAAATAAGTAGCTATGCTTTAGTGACGCTATGTCAGGCATTGGTCAATGAGTTGACTGTGATGTATGAACGGCTATTATGGTTAGATAAGTGTGAAAATAGTAAATAGATTAAGGGGGAAAATGATGATGATGCAATATTAAAGTAAACGCTAATAACTTTATATATACCAGTTTTAAGACGAACAATATCGACTGTTTTGGCATGTTGTTTTTGATCTGTATTTGCCGTTTTTGTATTATATTTTAAGGTTGGAGTTTTACGTGTACTAGTTGAACTTTGTTTTTGTTCGTCTGTTAATGGTAGTAGTTTGTCTAATGAATTTTCTAATGGTAATTTCGTACATTGGTTCGATGCCATTTCATTCAATGCTTTTAATTGTTCAAGTCTAATGAAAATATTTTTCAATCTTATTTTTGAAGTATATTCGATATAGTTTCATTTTACATACCTTTTTCTCACCGGTATTATATTTTCTGATTCTTCCGGATTCGACATAATTGCTTCATCTAAATAATAATAATAAATAAAATTTTTTAGAACGGACCACATTTTATGGCGATTAAATGATGATAAAAGCGTACCGAATTCATATATATATCTAACATGCAGTTCATTTGTCTGTAGAATAGACGTATCTGTCATCGGTAGAGAATCGTCATACTCATAAAATTCATCATTCGCTATATATATGTAGAAGATAGAGAAGAATTTGTTCATGCACATGATGAAAAATACATACCAGGATATTTTGACTCTAATTGTTGTGAACTTGACGATGGTGTTAAATTAGCTGCGGCTTGAACTTCTTCGGCAGTGATTGGCTAAAACAATATATATTTCGTTTTCTAAGCATAATTCAAATTAAACTTTGATGAAACTATCGAACATATAACACCATGTCAAGCAAAAGACTAGATAATTCTCATTCCTATTGTAAATTTGAAGCAATGTTGAAAACATTAATAATAATAAAAAAAAACAAGTTGAATGCGAACATATTGATAAGACATAGCATACGGTTAGCTATATTCTAAAATATAGCCTATAGATAAATTCTCACAAAAGAAAAGTTTGATGAAAGATTTTAGATCGAAACAGATAATGAATTTATATAATTAACAAAAAACAATTATACTCAAAATTACAACAAACCAGTCTATGAAACAGAGAGGTTTAGAAAGGATTGTAGTCATAGATATATAAATTCAAAAGAACTTTGATTTAATCTTAGACACATCCCAAAAGTAAAAGGATCAATTTTGAAGTATCAAAACATTGATCATTGAAACACTAGTACAGAATCTTTACATAAACATCATACTTATTCAGAAAGTATTTCTAGCATTTCTCTTGTTTTGGAATCGTTAAACAAATATTTACTCTCAAGCAAAGAACAATCTAACAATTGGATATAAATAGATTAAAACATAACTAAATAGTAATTCGAAAGACTTTCGAATTCGAATTAAGCGTACATCATCGATTGTAAAAACTATCAAGAGTGTAAATGTTTCTTAAATATAATTTAAAAGAATCATAATAAGATTTAAATTAGATCTATTATGTAATAGAATACCTGAGTAAGTCGATTTCGATTCTTTTTCAATGATGATGTTGGTGTTAGTCCAGCTGGTTTCTTTTTATTAAATAAAGTCATTTTTTCTTTGAATGATAGTTTAGAAATTTCATCGTCGAACGCTGCCTCATTGTCAGTTTTCTTATCTGATGAACTTTCATTATTATGATGCATAAGAAGAATATTGTCTGTTTGCGAACGTTGATTTTGATTAGCATATTTTTTTGTTACCGGCAATTCAAATGAAGAACTAAAATTTGAAAACAAAAGCAAACTTTCAATTGAATCAAAAATATCAGCTTTTATTTACTCGTCATATTTTAAAGGTTTTGCACGTGGTAAAGTACCTCCAAATTGTGTATCCTTTAAAATTGTCTCAAACAAATTTCTTTTATCAGCAACACTCATATTTTCATCAATACTAAAATGTAAAGAAATAGATTCATTGTTTCGTTTTCGTACTACATACTCATTTGCATTTGTATCTTGTTCCACTTGTTCACTTTTCGATAATAATAAATTTAATCTTTCAATAGACATTTTAACTCGTTCATCATTACTCATTTGAATATCCATTGGCAAGTCGACTGAATGTGTTTTATGAAGATTTGTAGAATTTCCATCTAATGACGATGATATTGTATTATTTGATAATGTCATTAATTCATGATCACTTTTAGATGTCGGCATTGTACGATTATATTGCTGGTCATCAGATGTAGTAGGCTTTTGAATTGAACGTTTATAATCTTCAACTTTATATCGGCTATTACGTTTTCGTATGATTTCAGAAAGACCACGTTGTTTCTCAACAGGCAAATGTACTGAACGATTAGTAGTTGTTGATGTTGATGAATCATTATTTTCATTTAATTGATCTAGCATTTGTTCAATAGATGATCGAAGCGGTCGAATTAAGTTCATGGACTTCAATGAATTTTCACGATGTAAATCATCTGGTGTTGGAAATAACGAAGGCTGATCAAATATTTGTAATGACAATTCTTCTGATGGACGTTGTTTATTTTGGAAATCCATCGGACGAAGACGTTCGAATGGATTAATAATAATGGTACTTGATAATGGTCGAACTGTTCCGATAGGTGATGAAGCTTTAACTAGAAATAGTTTCGAAAAAGAAAATAAAACATAAAAAGTCGAATAGAGAACATACCAATAACTGATTCTGGTTCATCAATGAATAATTCATGATTGTGTACGAATTTTTCTTCTTCATTTGAATCGGTTGAAATAACTAAGTAGAAATATTTAGAAATTAATTCATTCCTATTTTTCTACGGTTGATTAACAGTAATTATACATGAGATCAATATCTTACCTTCTTCATTCATCCATTGATCTTTATTTATATCAAGATCATTCATAACATCCTGACATGAATCATCAACTTGTGGTGATGAATAAACTTCGGTAACTTTTTCATCATTAAAATGATGTCGTTTTGAATACGGTGAATCAGAAGTTCGTGCATAAAATTGCGATTCAGCAAATGATATGCCTGATTGTTGTTGTGGTTGAACAATATCGGCTCCTTCTCGTTGTTCATTTGTTGTTGTAGACTTTGGTTTTGTTGTAGAAGGAGTTGATTCCACCATTGAAAATGTTTGAGCGTTAGGAGTTTCATGCTTACGAACAGAATTAGTAATACCCATACTTGTACCATCATTACCAATAGTAGTTGTAGATATTGCTCGTACATTATGACGTTGATCTCTTACGGGCAATGAAGAATCTATAGAATATTAAACAAAATATTATCTTTTGTTCACAATAAAAACACGACATAATGCCAGTCGGTTAGTATAAATAAGAGGGAAAAAATAAGGAAGAATGATTTCTTTTTATACGTATAAAAGAAATAATATTTACAGATGTACAAAAGGAAGTTGTCTAATCGAATTGATTACTCGATGCTATATTGTTTGTGTTTTCTACCGATAAAAAAACATGATTAGCAATGTTATTTATTCAAATATATAATGACACATGCTCGGGAGTGTACGTATATATATATATATATATATGTATTATCTGTGCCATCAATAGATAAGAAAAACGCAGTTTTTATTTATTTATAGATTATTTTCAAACGAAATCTTTCTGTTTTTAGTCTTGTAAAAAAAAGAGTCTTGTAATGACAATGACCTTTTCAGATCATTGAAAGAGCAAAGACTTGGGTTGTATTGATCCAATCGGAAGTATTTTCTTCTGATTCATTCATCCAGATGCTCTCAAGCCAAGGTAGTCTTAAGGTTAATTCTAAAGCAAAGGGTTCCTATCAATCTTACATCGTTTTAATTTACGTTTTGGCTTTGACGGGCATCAAAATCAATTTCCTTTTTAGTTATTTGTTTTAGGCTTTATGACATGTTTATAGTTCCGACAAGAATGCATCAAGTTTTATGTTCTGATTGGAAGAATAAATATTACTCGAATGCTATTCTAAGACACACATATATATGCATATAACTATAAGTAGACGGATCTCCTGTTGAGATAACACTAAGAGATGGATGCCCCTTTTTTTGCAAAATATATGCGTAGGCAGTCACCATTATACATTATACTAGTGTATATTTGTATATAACTGTCCAATTTTATGATAAATAAGAAGACTTACCAAGCAATTTTCCATCCGATCTTGCTATGTTTTTTGAACTTGCACAGAGCCTATAGAAATAAAATTACAAGATAGATTATTACTTAAAAAAAGATAAAAATAGGGTATAAAAAAATAAAAAACTTCAATCCATATAATGAATAGAAAACAAAAGTTATATGCATGAATACATACCACGCTCCCATGATGTATGAACCGACAATTCGATTGCCAAGAGTAAGTTTTAGTCGATATGAGGAGTAAATATTAAAACGACGTTTTTTTTGTACTTTTACTCCGTTTTATCTATTCTACTAAATCAGACTAGATAGTAACATATACGTATCAGCATATGTTTTGTGCCCTATCATTCAACTGAATATATTCAGCGAACAAAGAAAAAACAATTATCGTTGTAGAATTCGGATGTCATTGACGATAGAACTATAGATGTGTAACAAAAAAAAAGGAAGAAATACAGCAATATTATTATTGTTATTATTATAGAGAATATATGAACGTTCTATACTGGCAAGTCCTATTTTCTCCTTGATTATATAAACCTCATTGTATATAACGATAAGTTAGGAAAGATAAAGACGAAGAGGAAAGAAGAAATAGCAACTTATTTATGTTGAGTTCTTTTTGATAAACGTAATGCATCAATATCTCCATATTGCAGATGACGATAGTAGGTGGAGAAGCCAAGCGCATGCGTTATTCTTATACATACATAAAGAATCGTTTTTTTTCTCTCTTTTCCTCTTCCTGTCTCTCTATGTTTCTTTCCTTCTTTTTTTCTACTGTCGATGTATTTGTATTATTCTTTCTTTTTCAGTATTATACAATTGCTCAAAGTGTTTTGTCGTTAAGCTTTGTTGTTTTCTCTTTTCTATTCTACTGCACACTTATGTCATAATTGTGAACAGTAAATACATGGTGCTGATGTGACGATTGAACAAAAGTGAAAAATAAACTGGCATTAATCATCATTTCTAGATAACGTCAAATTGAGTTTATCTACATTTAGCTCTAATATTCTTAGCTAAGTATATGTCTATCAATAATTAGCATTGAATAAGGTTTTGGGTTTTTTTTTTTTTGGTTACTATTTCAAGTCCCAAAAGAGAAAATTTCGAAGACATTGTAGTCTTGCTAGAAAACGAATAACGATTATCTGTCTAATACAAACAAAAACCTATTCAATTACACGGAAGTAACACACAAGGCTCTTTTTCTGTTTCAACCACATAAACGTCATTATAGATATGTATGAATGTAAAAAGCAATTAGTAAGACCAATAGGATCATATTCATACAAGGTTCCTTGTAGTTCTCTGATGAGCAGATGTGTATTTATACTGATTGGTAATAGTAAAAGGATATTTATATCGCGCAGAAGGAAAAAAGAAACAAAGATCTATCACATCATTATGTAGAATACTTTCATTTTCCTATTATTGTTGTTGGCATCTTAAATATTACTGACATTGATTGATAATACAAATATTACAATCATTGAACAATTTTTCGTTTTGTATTTTAAAGGTTATTATTTGGTTATTATTTGTTACATCATCAAATTAGATCGATTAGAAAAATAAAAAACACCACAAAAGAAAACATTTTCATTCATGTATGACGAGACACTTAAACTCAATAATCTTTCTTAACTATAATGAAATTAAGACAGTTTTGAAAGATTGACGTTCATAAGACTACACAATGATAACAGGCAAAAAGAAAAATCATATGCGTAAAAAAAATAAATGCATACTGTTATTTTTTTTCTTTTTCTATCGTTATGTAGAGCAAACAAATAAATACTGATCAGCATGATCTAATATGAGAAAACATACAAAGAAAGAGCAGTAAAACATTCTGTCATATAATGTGAAGATACATCATGATGTCGTGATGGATTTTCATTCACCGTCCATTTGTCCTACAAGGGAGAAAGTACGCATCGGCTTTTTTTTGTTATTGTACCATGGTTGATGTGTGTGCTCACGTATCTAGTTGACAGCAAAAATATGCAGATGCTGCAATGGAATTCTTCAATCAAACGAAAACGAACACATCAATATGCGAATGCTATCGTGCTACCGAGCAACATAGCAGGAGAAGGGTGAAGTGACAGTGAACGGTGAATGTTACCATAAATTTGTATTTGAATAAATAGCTATCATGCATGCGCTAGCTAACGATATTTAGCTGAATTAAATAATAGAACATTTGTTGTGGGATAAGAAACAGGAATATAAATTCGAAAGTATTTTTACGCAGTAAAAGCATTAGCAGGAATTATATGAAAATTGTCAATCGGTCTAATTTGATGATTGAACTATTGCTGTCAACTAGATATGTTCGTTGGGTAAAAGCGAAAGCAAATTATATCTTACTTTCGGGATTTTGGTATTCCACACACAGAATCATCACTGTCAAAATCAAATTCTGTTAGTTTGGACAACATTCTTCGATTATTATTATTATTATTATTATTATTCATGATACTGTGATTTTTTGCATTGGCATTTGATTTTCGATTATTGAATGTCATTGAATCAAGAGATTTATATCGAAGTAGAGCAGCTCGATTAACACGTTCAATATCTCCTATTGACGTTGAAGACGAAGATGATGATGAAGCTGATAAATTTTCTTTTTCGCCTAAATATTCACGACTTGTTGATTTTTGTTGACGATATACATTATTTAATTCATTGCTAGGCATTGGAGACATAAATGATGATGACATTTGATATAAGTCAACACTTTTTGAACGTTTCATTTGTTTACGTTTTTGAAAACGCCGACGAGATTGTTGTTGTCCACTATTAATGAATTCATCTTGTTGTTGCTGTTGTTGTTGGTCAACAATAGTTAAACGTTTTGGTTTTTCCAGTTGCTGCTGCTGGTGTTGATTATTATTATTATTTTTTACTGTTGTTAGTGAAGGCCGATAGTAATATGAATTGGGTGAACTATAATCATTCTTATTGAGTGAAGGTGAAAAATTTTGCTGTAAAAAAAAAGAAAGAAATTAAGTTTATTATCATGTTTTCGTTTTGGTAGAAAAGAAATAATCAAATTTACTCATATCATCTGATAATTATCCTTACCATGCTAGAATAAAAATCTCCCTTTATCGATGATGGATATTGCTGTTGAAAAGTATTCGGTGCTGAAGTCAAGCCGATAGTGCGTTCGTTGTATGGTGGACTATTAGCGGTTGGTAATTGTTGCAATGAATCCTGTGAGAGTGGTTCGGCTGATAATATTGAAGGTTTTGTATATAAAGAATTATTCGATAGAGGTTGAGAAGTAGACGTTGGATATATAGGATTAGGTGTTAGAAAATCTGAATGAAGTATATTTGGATGACGAATTATGCCACCAAGAGAACCAATCGATGAGGATGTTGAGGAATTAGTTGGTGTATTTCCCATACTATCAAGATTCGTACGTGGTTTTGTTGGTACGACTGGTGTTGTCATGTTTGTCGTTGATATTGAGGGTGATTGAAAAGTTGACGGTGTTGATTGAAATTGTGACCGAACTGTGTTTGTATTTATTGAATAAGGTTCAACTTTAGCTACATTTCTTGGACGAACTACTGTCGAATCTTGATCATTCAAACGGCGAAACCGATAGGCATCGTATGAAAGTTCTGATGATGGCATTAAATCACTATTGTTTGGATGACTAACCGATTTGGGACTACAATGCAGATACATAAATAAACAAATGCTGATCAATCATATGTAATGCTGCGAACAGAAAATAGTAGAACAAGAAAGAGAAAAAGAAGCTTACATAATATGCATGCTCATAAACACTAATTACTCAGATCAACACTATCTTGAAGCGTAAGAAATGATAACAAGAAACTTGCTTTGAAGTATGAGTAATGACAAATTCGAAACAAGTACCAAAATCGTATAAAAAAAATTGTAGACTAGGAAAGGAATATATTTAGTTTCGACTTTATTCAATCAAGGAAAATATGATTAGGAGTATTTTTATTCTTGTTCTATTTTAAATGAGCGACAGACAAATGATAAAATGATGTCAACTATTTTTTTGACTTTCTTATTGATTAGATACTTAAAGGAACAAAACAAAAACAGAACTTTCGGCTGTCTTTAATTGCTATTCCTTAGGGGCTTACTTTGTATAAACGATCTAATAATTCTACTTATATTTACTTTAAACACCACATCAGATTTTTTGTCCATCATAGACTTCTAATATTTCCTAATTTATCGCTTATATTCCGTGTAAGATGATAAAGCACATGCCTAGTAACTGGTGATACTGCTGAAAAATGCGAATCTTCTCTGACAAATGATGACTGATGTATTATAAGAAAGGAATTATAAAATACACCGGCCAGTCAAATTGTGGGCATTCGGAGTGTTAATGGATGGTGCATTTGTCTATGTCATTCACTATAATAATCCAAGGTCTTCATAGCAGTCGATCTAACTGTCAATCAAATAGGCATGTTTTTTCAGTACGCTGATCTTATCACTTTTATCGGTTGTTTATATTTATCGATGGATTTATTGATTATTACATAGCATACCTATCAATTGTTTTTTGACTATTAATCAACGATGTTGCACTAATGAACGGTATCGTTGTTGTAACATCTTGGGCAATAGTTGTTGGTTTATGGATTATTTGTTGTTGAGATTCATTTGGATTGAATTGAGGAGATAATTTAACAGATGAAGACGATGATATATTAGTTTTATTATTAAGATTTAGATGTCGATTAAAATTTGAATCTATTGAGTCTTTTCGATGTTGATTACTTATAGGTGTATTAGTTAAATTAAGTGATGATTTTGTAGCAAATAATTGTGTTAATTTTTGTACACATGAACCATGATTAATAATCGGTGCTGAATTTTCATCGAATTCATCAATATCATCATCATGATCGTTATTATTATTATGATTATTAATACCTGTTGAACTTTTACTTCGGCTAAGCGTTGGTTGATGAAATTCTTGTTCTTGTTGTACATTACTAACTACCGAAGATGGTGTAGGTGATTGAATAGGAAATTGTTCTTGTTGTAAACGTAAATCCCATTCAGATTTACTCAATGCAGAACATGCACGTTTTGTTCCTATTGTAATTAATGATTGATAAGTAGATGTATTTTCATTTCCCGATGGATCATGTGCTTCAATATCAATAGTTAATGGTTCAATTTGATGAGGTTGAACAATAAATTCAGAACGTGATCTCGATGAACTATATTTAAGTATAGGTCTTATTGGGTTATTTGCCAATGATGATGGAAGCGATTCTGGCTCATGCGTTTCTTGTATTGCTTGTTGACGTTGAAGGCGTGGTGTAGACGGTTGTTTTGCAGGTATTTCATCTTCATATGATGTAGTTAGTGATCGACGTGATAAGAATGGAGAAGAAGCGGGTGGTTGAGGTGGTTCTATTTTTGAAGCAAATGTATTCCATAGGCCTCGTGTACTTTCAAGTGTACGACGTGCTTTAATACCAGTAGTATTTGAACCTACTGGATCATAACGACGAATTAAACGAAGAACAGTTGAATCCATCGTTATAATTGATTTATAATTATTACCTTCTCCAGCAACAATGGACGAAGAAGGAATTCTTGTTGATTCATCAGCATCAACATTCTAAAACAAAAATAAATGATTTCAATAAATCATGACCTTGTACTAGTTGTTAGAATGTAGATCATGCACATCACATCGTAGTCTATTTCATACATAATAAGTATGAGGAGGGGGTTAGAAAAAAGTCTTTCTCGTCCATCTCTTTTCTTCTATTCTCACACGACAAATAACTCAGCGCGTCGATAGGAAAAAAAGACAGAGAAAAATAGAGAGAGAAAAAAATAAGGAATGGAGAACTATATTGGCATCCCACGTATACGTATACATACAGATTGTTCTAATGATGAGACGTGTGTGCGTCCAAAAGAATATGGTAGCAATAGCTACCGGAAGGAAAGAGGGGCAAGAAATGGCAATAGAAATAACAGCGAGTCACTATCATCATTATCCATTATCGTCTTGCTGCCTTGCCATCATCCATAAAATAGTCGAAGAAAGAAAGAGCATCGTATGTGTCCCTGAACTGCCCAAGATATACCGCTTACGATAGTCAATTGATATGTTGTAGAAAACAGAAGCGTCGATCAAAAACTAATGAATTCGTTTAACATACCAAATAAATTCTATTTCCTGTTTTTAAGCATGCAAATGAGTTTTGTAGTTCGGGTTGTTTTTGAACATAACGATAACCCTTTTGACCTTCATTTGTAGTAGTAGTATTAGTAGTAATGGTACTATGTATAATATTGCTACTGTTGTTTTGACTACAGTTCTTATTGTTGTTTTGGCTTTTTGTTATTTGGATTGGTAAGAAAACGGTTCCGGCATTTGTTGATGACGCTGAAGCTGACGACGGAGAAGAATATGAAGAAGAATAGGATAAAGATGATGGTATCGCAGAACTAATAACGATTGCCATATCGCTATTTATAATATCTACTGGAATCGACCGAGTCAATGGTTTCTAAATGATAATAAAAAAGATAAATGAATATATTTCAATCATAGTTTAGATAAATATAAAAATACATGATTGAATGAGGTACTATTGATAGGCGATGGAGACTTCTTCTTAATAATAATCATTGATGATGATGATGATGATGATGATGGCTGCAGTGGGATTCCATTTAATTTTCGACGTCCATTAACAATTAATGGACGAAAATCCATTGACTTTATCTCCATATTTGATGATGATATTGGTATCCGATAAGATTTTGGATTTGTTTGTTGTTTTTGTTTAGAAATGTTTTCATTTGTTAAAAATTTCCCTATCATGGGTTTTTCATATGCTTGATTACTTACTGAACAGCGTATAATAGTTTCTGGAATAAATCTATTTGTGACTGTATAGCGACGTTTTGATTGCTCTTGTTCGTCAAATGGAATAGATTTTCGTTTTATGAACATATTTAAATTTTCATTGTTAGATGTTAAATTCGATACAGACAACTTATTCGAAGCACTTCTTATCATTTGTTTTGGTTGTTGATGAACACTAGTCGCCAAATTATCATAGACACCCGATATTGGCGACATACTGACTATAAAAACCTATATAAGGGATAAAGAGAAAAAATTTTGAAAAAAAATTTTTTAATCTCTTATTAACTATACCACTAGTTAAAATCGGTAGTCTATGGAGGACTGAAGAGAAAAGAAACTAGAAGTACAAGGCAACGTCTTATACACCTGTATCCATACAATTTTCTTCAAGGAGAGAATCGAAAGCATAATATCATTCTAATTACTGTACCGATATTCAATTTAGTTAAATTGTTATTCGCTTAAATGACGATACTAACATTGAATATTATTCTTTGCTTGTAAATGTCTTACTTCGGTACAGAGAATACAATACTATACTAGAAAAGAAATAGTAAAATGAAGAACAAGAAAAAGAGGCTAAGCGCCACAAATTGAAAGACAATATACAAGCATAGGACAAGAGAAAATAAGCAAGAGAAAGAGGCATACAAAATAAACATACATACATGTATACATAGATATGAAGCGAAAGGTTTGCCTAATCAAGTTGAATTGGTGACAAGCGTTTTGTGCATTCATGCGAAGTCTGTAACTACAGTTAGTACTATTCACTGATTCCTATTTTATGACTATGAAGTTTTAAATTCGACAGGTGTTCATAATTTGTTTGAAAATCTCATTTTTTTTTAAAAGGTAAAAAACGACATTCGACAGTAGTATCTGATTAAAACAAAAAAAAGCAGATTAATCTTATATTAGATGCACTCTACAGTGAACGTGAACAGCAAAGTATAGAGAAGAAGAGAAAATACTGAGAGCGTGCATGAGCCCGCTACGTATATCGACATAAAAATATTAGTCCTTCAACCCTAAATTCGATTGTGTGAAAAATGTAGGTGTATAGGTGTATTCAAGGCGATGTATTGTCTTGCGACCGACGAATTATGTTATATTCAGTGTTTGATCTCACTTTTCAGACAGAAAGAAACCAAGAAAGTGATAAAAAAAACAAAAATTATTTCGATCAATGTCACATTAAGCTAAGCACTGTTGGCATGTATTCATGTTAGACCAGTTTTTCTTTTTCTTTTCTAAAAGAATAATCGTTAGCACTATTCGTCTCGGAATGATACTGTTAAAATCAGTCGCTAGTTTTCTATTAACGAATCTGACTAATTAAATCATATGAACTAATTCAAAAAGAATCGTTAAATAAGAAAAACATTATTCAACGTGTAAAATAGACAGACAAACAACTTGAACGATAAATCTCTTTCTCTTTCTCTCTCTTCTACATTCAGAATGGCTAATGAGATCTCAATTTGTTCATCCCAATATACATATTGTCTATTGACATGACATTTTGTTGCACGACAATGCAAGACAACTACTTGCACATTGTTGAATCTTTTCTAGTCCTAAGCAATAGTGGTGATCGTTATAAAAGAAAAATAATGAGTACCTGCATGTCGATATACTCTGTGACAGATGTTGAGCTAGTTGAATCACAAACGGTATGTGATGAATAACTATTGACAATAGCAAAACGTAAGATATGCGCTCTGACAGGCTTAGTTTTTGTCTTCTATCTATGCATTTTCTCTCTCTCTCTCTCTCTTCTCCCTATTACAGCGAATGGTAAACGAATCAATCATGCGCGTAATAAGAACATATCTTATCATACGAGCAAACGTGTGTTCACAGTATGAAAACTAGTCAAAACAGTCATATTAAACAAAAATTAACAAGGAAATGCTAACGCAAATACAACGCAGTCTGTTTTTCATTGAGACTCTTTTGTTTTATCTCTTATTTGTGCTTACTATTAGACGATTTGATGGTCTGATCGACGAGAATTTCTTAAGTTGTCAGCTAATAATCAATGACTAGATCAATGTCGCCTACGCACATAAATCAATCATAGCGTCTAATAAATTCGTTTCGTCTATGAATCAATGAGAAAGTCATGTTCATTCACTTTTCTTCTTATCAATGACGAGAACAGATATATACAAAATATCATTCATGTAATAGCAAAATAAAAATGTCTAATCAAAAACGGTTGCAATAAGCAGTAAAAGTGCTGAGTGACCTTCTTTCATATGGATTCCATTTATAGGCAAGCGCAAGAAAAAGACGATGATTGGCATCTCTCTTAGATAGACATGTCATTGAAGATTGCGCAAGTGATCTGTTATCAACACACAAGTGTCGATGAAATTACATGTATATATGTACCGAATGATATGCTTATCTTGATAAACGAATCTATTTTTCCGGGCTTCTTTTCAATTTGATCAAAGCCAATACAAGGACACTTAAAATCTGAGCATTTTGAACGTTGGATTTTGTTCTCCAATTATTTCACATGTTCCTTTTTTTTCTTATTAATGATTTGTTTATTCTTTGAGAAGAAGATTTGTTCATGACAACTCTCAACCTTCCCTTGTTATTCAATGACACTTCAAAGATTAATAATAGTATAATTAGGAGAAATAGAAGCACTGCTCAATCGTTTTATGTCTCTTCTATAACTAGCAATTGAATATTTTACTAATACTCGCTTTTGAGCGTTCATCTTATCGAGTGATCAAGATCAAGTGTATTACGTTGATCATAGAATTGTCTATGTGTCAAATGTTGAATATATGATTGAAAGTAAACTTCGAAATAAAACATATTTACAAATAGTTCAATTCAGTTTTACTCGCTAAAAGTGAAGATACTCATAAAAAGAGCAGTCTATTTTAAAATGCACAGCGTAGACAAATTTATTGATTGTGTCCATTTTAATAGATTGTTTTGATAAAGTATCTCATACGACATTCGAAATAGTCAATATGATGTTGAAAACTGATGAAACAGATAACTACATTATTTTTTCATGATGATATTATCTCTAATAGTGATGTAATCAGTAGTGGATCTACGATGAACCTCACTCTACTAGCCTGTTCATCTTTGCATTCGCGTCAGAAGGGAGAAAAAAAACATAATCATTACCACCATTAACGCTATATTTTCTACATTACCTCGACGATTTGTGGGTTACATCGTTGATTTCTAGTAATCCATTCGGTTGAATATGAAAGTAAGCATGTTGTTCGTTGACAAATTTTCTTTAACAAAGCACTTCACTGCGTAGTAGCCTATGAAAACAAAGTCGATTTTAACATGTTGTTCTTGTCTTTACAGAAAAAAAATAGAAAGATATAAATTTCATAGTTTCAATAGTAGCTATAGAATGATTTATTGAGGACGACACAAGCTGTTAACTACAAATAGCGACAGCAGCATATAGAAAAATATATTAATTAGAAGAACAAAAAAAAGGGAAGAGCTATAGATTTGATTTATTTTGGTTTTTAAATCACAAGGTGAAAGACCTTCAAGTTATCGAATAAGGATAATATTTTTATTGGACATCTTGAGATGTTTTTTTTTTGACGAAATAGTTATGAAGTTCTATTCGAACAAGCTGATGACACAGAAAATCATGCTTGAAAACATCTTGTCGAGGTTGCACAAGCATAACATTGCACAGAAGCATTTAAGATAATTATTAATAAGAAAAAAAACTCTTCAATTTATGTGGATTACTTGTCCATATTACTTAATTTAACGACGTTATATTTTTATTGGAGAATGTTTACAAATGAGAAGCATATAAATAAAAAAATACTATTTATATTCGAAGATTCGAACGAATATTCACGCTAAAATAAAACAAGATTAACTGTCAGTTAAGCAGCTCGAGAATGGTAACAGCTAGAGATCTATTTGTATCAAAATAGAAAAAGAAGATTTTCAGATGAATTTTTTTCTGATACAATATTAGAATGGCTAATTCTAAAAACAATAATAATCGCAAAAAATCTCATCAAAATACTGTTTAATTTCCAGAAATGAATCAGGAAATTACTTGCTTATGTTTCAACGGAAATTGGATAAAATGACTTACTTATCTATCAAGTCAAACTGTATAGATTTCTATTAACTTCTAGCAGATTTTAAAGCATTTGCTTCAAATTTTCTTGCAATAAAACAAAATTTTCATGTAAATTTTTGAAATATTTTTGCGCAGATGATGGATTTTAGAATAAGTTCATTTCGCATATCAAGTAAAAGAAGTGTCCAGAGTAATTATGTTTTGTTTGCTAAAAATTCAAGGCTTCCTAGTTGTGGCTGTTATCGAATTATTGACATTACACCGAATGGATCCTTAATTATGCTATCGTTAATAGAGCTGATTGAATTACTTCATCAAGTGCATCCAGATTAATTACTTAGCAAATTGACTTTTTTTTCTTTTCGTACAGAAGAGATTTTGAATAAAACATATCTTAATTTCAATTATATGTCGAAAAATTACAATTTAGTTTTGTTTATTGTCGATTCACTTTCTTTCTCTACAGCACATTTAGCTTTTTCCATTTTGACTATTTTTGTTAAGTTTTTTATTTTAATTTAATTTAATGAGATATTAACATTCCATATATTTATTTATTAATCAATATGAAACTAATTTATCAATGCTACAAATATGCCATATGCTTCTATGACTAAAACCATAATCATAAAAGGTAATTTGCCAGTAAACAATGATGTGCTTTATATAGCCTTTTGATTAAATAGAGAGTGCAGAATATTTTAATTATTGAAGTGTCTACACTTTGTTATTGTCAAGTACTTGGCAATGACACGTTAGGCATGATTTTGTTCAATGAGATATAATAAATCATTCGATCAGCCTTTGTCCTTCATGACAATATATTAGAATTATTACTATACGTTGATTAATTCACAACATGTGCAAAACAAGGTCTGTCATTCAAATCGAATAAAGATAAAAACCAAGTCAAAAAACAAATTCATGGATACAATTGTATCGAATAATTATAATTATATCAGCTACATTTTATCTAATTTGGAATGATATTAGAAGTTTCTGTTGAAATCTAACTAACTAGTAACTTCTTTGATGTTGCTATTCTTGTTGTAATGCTGATGCATAACAATAAAGAACTAGAAGATAGTTATACAGAATTGCTAGTGAAGTTGAATATTAATGTTATCTTTTTTTCTTGTCTAATAGACAAATATGCTTCGATCATGCGCAAACAACATTTAACATGATTGTTTTTTGTACGATTGAACCATGTAATGCACCATAGCAAATTTTTGATTTCTCGTAAGAAAAAGAAATTTTCATTGAAATATAAATATATTTCTTTGTTATTATTATTATTATTATTATTGTTTGTTAAACCTCTGCACACCAAATATGAAAAAAAATATAGCATAATAAAAAATATACTAGAAGCAGAAATATAAACACGTGTATGTTGCATACGCAAGCAAGAAAAATAAAAATTGGCAGCGGCTATTTTCATTGACCCTACCTGAGAAGTGGAAAAGAAAACGGCGCTAAGATTTACAAACATAAAAAGGTGAAAACCAAAAGCAAAGACTAACTAGAAAAATTAATTAATCGGATATAAATTGTTTCATAAAATAGATTATTTATTAGTATATATATATGTACATTTCGAAACGTTATACGACATGTTACCGATTTTATGAAGCAATACGCATAATTCAAAATTCACAACAACAAACTACACGAAATAAAAAGTGAATAAAAGCGTGCAATAATTAAACGAAAGAAAAAGTTCATTAGCAGCGCACTTGTATTCAATTTCCTGAGTTACGTTGTTCGCTGTTATTTCGTATTAATCTTAATTTCTCTCACTTCTCGTTTTTTTTTCTGTTCTCCAAAACAATCGTTTTTTCTGTTGGGTAGGAGAAATAATTTGTGCTTTGCGCATCTGACGATAAACAAAAATAAATTTAGAGACAGAGAGACAGAAAGATTAAACAATCAAATAATAGAAAACAAAGTTCTTTTTCTTGCTTCTTGTTGGATTTACTTTCGTGATTTATAACAACACATTTATATTAAATATCAGTTAAAGAAGAAGATTGACATGAATATTTAAAAAAAACAATAAATTTTTTATATACAAAATTTGTCAATACTGAAAATGAATAAAAAGAATACGAAATAGATTTTCATATATGTATTTAAACAATAGTGCCATTTGAGCTTTGCGTGTTATTTTCATTTTAGCGTTCCATACAAAATGTATCATCACAATTAATTGGATCAATGGAAAGATCAGCCGCATTGAGCAACTGAATAATAAATAGAAAATAGAAAAAAAACAAACACATGACATTTAATATTTACTTACGAAATCATCGGGATTCAACTGTAAATCAGTTGAGTCAAGTAAATTATCAAATGAATTTGGAAAATCATTGTCCAATTCTTTCGATAAATCTAACTTTGAACTATCAACATCTATGAAATTTAAAAACAAACAACAATGAATATTCAAAAAATAAGAAAACGATCTTAAATCAAGTCTATAGTATTTTTCGAAATGAATATTAAAAATCGCGTAATCATTAGTGAATCAATATCTATGATTCCATATTCGGCATATATTCAACCAATATAAGTGCATAGTCTTATTTGAAATATTTAATCATAAAATTTTGCACATCGTTACGATTGTTTCTTAGCGACATGTCAATATTTGCAAACAAAAATTGCATTTTTCATTTGTTGCAAGTGTACTGTTTTCTTAAAGATAATAGAAAATTACTCATCAGCAAGATTTATTGATAAGCCTGTCATATAATAAATGTTAATCTTGACATACTATAATACGTAGCTACCTATTAAATATACTATATACATTTGATAGGAAATAAGAATCTCACGACGTATTCATTTGACTTGTTTACTTTTAATACAACAATGAAAATTCTCGAGGGAATTATGTTAATCTGCAAACGTGCAATAAAGTTCATTGTTCATATAGTATTTTTTCTGATCATAAATTGTTTCTTAACTCATGCATCTTGATCTCGATAAATATATGAAAAATTGCATATTAGAAAAAGTCATTATCCAGTTCTACATGAACACTCAACCGAACAAGTCATGGCAAAAAATAGCAACATGCCATATCGCTTTATCTGTTTTAAAGAGATGTAGACTAGTAGTAAATGAGTGAACTGTTATTTAAAAGTTCCGTACTAATGTAGTAAAAATTGAATAAGAAATCCTTGACATTGAAGTAAAAGCAACGAAACATTTGAGAACCACCGTAATCAGTGCAAATTCAGTATATTTGCTCGATAAATATTTGAGTTAATAAGAAAATCGATATCAACCAATAACTGATCCATTTGTAATTTAAAGAAAAATCTAAATCGAACCCTTATGAGCCTCATCGGAAGTATCGTGATCAATACACTTGATATCACGCATTTGCGCGAGTGACAAAACATAATTTCACAAAATATTCATACATATTTAAGCGATTTATTATTTTAACGATATATTTACACTATTTGAAACGTGAAAAAAATAACTTCTACTATAATTTTGTCTTTCAAAATAATATTACAAGTACTTTATTATTCTACCCTGTAGGACAGGATAAAGAAACATTGTTATGTACTCAATTTGAATATGAATGATCTCTAATTTATTCAAAATTGACTTCTTGATGAAACACTATATTGTAACTATATTCAACATTTTTACGAGATTCTTTGAATTAGCGAAAGGAAGAATCAATTCAAAAATTTGTCTTTCTCCATTAAAGCGAATGTTAGCAAAATCGGGTGCTTTGCTTTGGATTACGGAGCAAATGAACTTTCTGGCACCACTAAAACGAATGAAAACTTTCCAAGAATGCGAGGATTATCTCACAACTCAACTCTTGTTACCATTCAAAATATACATCTACCTATAGTAAAAACAAACTGCATTACAACTAGTCTTTGTTGTGTAACTGTTAAAAAATGGCATTAATATCAAAATAGAAATTCTCCAGCATATTTCATGTTAAGTGGCGGGTTTTAGAGAACAAACCAAAGAAAAAATAACGTATGCAGCCCAATAAATAAAATTTGCACTTACATGATTAATATAATTGCTTTTGAACTGAAATATTAACGATTACTGAGGTAAGAAAACACTCTACAAATTTTCTCGCAACAGTGAAATCAACTAGTTCTTATTATTTTTATATTATTACCGTGAAGTAGAACGTCATATTTCTTTTTCTAAATGTATCTTCAATGAAGATGATAATATATCTCTTAGCATGTCTTAATGAGTAAATGTGATAGTATAATGGAAGAGAACTGTCGATTTTCTATATCAAATAGTTTCTTATTTTTACCTGTTAAAATTATATTTGGAATAGTTGGACTTTTCTGATTGGTTGTCGTTATATTCATTGCTGTTTGATTATGCGAATACGGCAATGACCTAAATGATACAAACCAGTGTTTCTTTGAGGGTGTAACATGAAAGAATTTCTAAAAATCTTACATATCATCCATGAATAACGGATAAAAATTCATTTGTTGTTGTTGTTGTTGCTGTGGTTGTTGTTGTGATGAAGGTGAAGATGGTTTTTGTTGAGCATAAAAATTATTTTCCTGAAAATGATTCTTTTATATTTTATTCCATTCAAGTGGAAGTTATTTACCAACGTAATTTGATCAAATTGGTTCGGTAATGTAAAATAAGTTTTCTGATTATCTGTAGACTGTTGTTGTTGTTGTTGCTGTGGCGGTGAAAATGGTGTCAGTTCATTACTGGGACTTGGCAAGAAATTTGGAGAGTTTTGCGGTGAATAACTGGGTTGAGATTGAGGACTTTGTGGCTCCATTCGATAATGATTCTGCTGATTCTAGAAAAATTTAATAAATTATTTTCCATGAAAATAAAACATGAACTAACTGTGGAAACATCGGGTGATGGTGAATGTTGTCGACGTGGTGACGATTGTTTATGATCGCCAATTGGACTATGACGTCGACGCATACTTGAACTTTGTTTCAATGGACCTATTCTTGATATTAATTGTTGTTGTTGTTGTTGTTGTTGTGGACACTAAATGTAAACACATTAAAACAACAATATTTTTTATATATTCTTTATTTCATTTTTAAAATAAATATTTAGTACCAATGCAAATAAATCGGCATCGTTATTTTGTTGTGGTGAAGACGAACGAAAATATGGTTGGGCTGTAGGCGTTGAGGATGATGGTACTGTTGGAAATGATATTTGTTGAGTATTATAGGTACTTCCAATACGTAAATCAGGTAATGAGCCACCATTACCACGTGCCTGCTGATTAGGTGGTAACAAAAGATCATTTGAACTTGTATTTCCGCTACTATATCGTAGACTTAAACCAGCATGTTGAGTATTATTTGTTGAAGATGCAATAGTTTGTTGTGGAATAGACAGAGTTTGTGGTGATTGATAAAAGACATTGACGTTATTATTAGCATAATTATTATTATTTAAATCGTAATAGTGTTGAGTTTGAAATTGTGAATTCGACACTTGCAAAAGATGAGAACTTGGAAGTTCACCACCGTATATGTTGGTATCAAATTTAATATCATTATTATCATAGTTCAACTGTTGATCTAGACAAATAAAATGAAACCTGTGCTAATCGTGGGTTTAAACACAAACTATTATCTTCATTATCAATTTGAGCATGATATTGTGCAATAGCTATTGGCATCACAGTTTGATGAAGCGATGGATCCGAATGAACTCTATGATGAAACAAAATAGCCAAATAGAATTTTGTTTTGTAATTTCTTTTTCTATTACCGTCGCCATGATGAATTATCAGGTGGTAATAATAATCGATTGGAACTATTGCCATTTTCATTCTAAATCATAAGCAATTTACACATATTCTTATTAGCATATATTTAACATACTTTCATGCATTGATTGATATAAGTATAATTATCTGAATTATTTATCCCATTCGCTATCTGATAAAAATAAAAATAAAAATAAAAATCTTGACAGATTAACAAACAAACTTTACTTCATATCTTCGCACTGGTGCATCCAATTTACATGTTATTGTTGACGCACGATCTGCTCCCTAGAAATAAATTTTTGTTTTTACACAATTTTCCTGTTTTGCAATGGTTTTTGTTTCATACGTTTTTAGCAGCTTCGACTTCATTAATAATTGTCTTAAATGCTGCGTCACCTTCCGCTTGTTTCTGTTGAATAAGAGCGATTTTCTCAGCGAATTTACGTGGACTACTCATCGTGAGTATCAGTTACATTAGGTAACAGAAATAAGGAGTACTATATTAAACGAACCAAAAAGTACGTGAGAAACACGATGGAGTATGTATGCAGAAGGAAGAAAAGAAGAAAACGACGAGAAATGAAGAAAGCAAAAAAATAAAAAAGCAAAATCTGAAAAAACAATAAAAAACAAATATGTACAGACACGAATAAGAAAAATAGAAATAAGTAACTTACAGAATAATTTATATGTCAATGCAGTGAATAAGAATCGAATTCATTTTCAATAGACATCCAATAGTCAAACTATGGCATTGTAATTTTTCTTTTTTATAATATCTGAAATGAAAAGCAAAACAAGGGAAATACTTTGAAATGCAAACAGAAGACGACACGAATCTAAAAGTCTTCCTTTTTTCATATTCGAGACTTCGTTGTTTTTTTTCCGTTTCGATGGTAAACTGAATAAGAATATTGACGTATGACACGTCCTTCAAAAATATAATTATAACGTTGTCCAATTGAAAATAAATATGACAAGCATTGACTTTAATCTCAACGAGAACAGAAACGAAAAAATATACGAATTGGTCATACAATCTGGCATAAATGTTTTCTAGAGGGTTTGTGTTGATAAATTTTACTTGTTGTTATTTGAAAGTGCATGTTTTTTTTTCGGGAATCAAGTAACCAATTAGAATGATGATCACGAATTTCGTCAGTTTTAAGTCCAATTAAATAATATTTAATGATAAACGAATGATTTTCATATTGAATTCATGTTGTTTTTCTGCTTATTTTGCAGACGACTCTACTGCTGATTACTGATTAGTAATTGAATAGACCAATGGAAATTTAATAAAAACTAAAGGAATTCAGAATCAGAAGTATCCTTTCAAAAACAAAAGGTAGTTTCTTTTTTCTTTTTCTTCATGGGATAAGTATTCGATCGAATAGAAATCCAATCATATAGAAAGGGTGTATTTGTTTATCGAATGGTTTTTATCATAGAAGAGAAACACAAATGGTGTTTATGATTGATAGAATTATAGCTTCAGTCGTCGTTACAGTTATATCATAAGTGTCGATATTGATCTGGCATAAGATTATTTTGACGGTTAAAGCGATAAGTATTTATCAGAGCACTCGAAGTCATTAGCATTGACTGGTGCTTTTTTCCTTCTTTATGGGAATATCAAGTTAAATTCAGCGATAGCTGATGAACAAGATTATTACCTTAAGTCAGTCATTATTGGATTTAGAAGCACAATCCCTTGAGTTTGACATCTATTTATAATATTTGAAAGGTAACACATAAAACAAAAACATGTAACTAAGTTATTTTTATGGGTTGCCCTTAGTGCTTCACATTTGCAAAAAAGTGTTTCAACACGTTCGAAAAAGATTAATATGATAAAAACAACAAAGTACTGTATTTAAAAAAACATTTACATTCTCTTCAGAATAATGAACAGTGACCCATGGAGAATTTCGCTAGCAAATGTTTAGTGAATGTTGAAACCTATTTATTTCATACGAAATAAAAGAAAAAGTCAGTTTCTAGTGTATACTGGTGTTTTGTGCTGTATTACTAGTTCGTGATACGATTGTAAATATGATCGGAGCGATAATTACAAGTTTTATGGCACGAATAAAAATTGTTTCTTCCAATATTATATGCAACGCATTGCAATGTTTCATACGATATAACACTCATAAGTACCCATGATCTGTATATTTAAATAGAGTAGCTGCGAGAGGATAACGAACTGTTTAACTGTAAGTGTCATGCTAATCCTGGTTAGAGGGCACATTTTTTTTTTCGTACGAATTTCTATCCAGTTAGAAGCACAACGACAGATATTGAAAATGTCGATCGAATTTTTTTGAAGAAATAATTATTATTCTGAAACCTTTTAGACAAATGGAGACACGTCGATTCGAGATAACACCTGTAATTGAATCAAATCATGAAACTTCAGCAATGCAACAAACTGAAATGGTTCCATTAATTAATATTGAAAATGAAATTCCGCGACCATTATCTACTTATATCGCATCAAATGATGGAAAAAATAAAAATCGAACAGGATCACGCTTATTTAGTAAAATTTTACAACAACGATATTCAGATATTCGTCGTCGTGCTACGGTTGCAGCTGCAGACGATTTTAGTAGTGATCAAATTACAAAGAGTTCATCAGCTGATATCATACATCAAACGGATTCAAAATCGACACTATCACTTCCATCTCGGTACACAAATGCTGCTATTGACCAACAAGTTGAAGAAATTAATACTTACTCAACAATACAATCAAATAATTATGATACAAATCCATTGAATGTAACAAATAAGTTTCTTCAAGAACTTCGTTTAAAACGTCGTGAATTACGAAACAAAGCAAAAAATATTTCCATTGATCAACGTATCGCTTTTAATCGTCGACAAAATCAACGAGTAATCGTACGTGCACAAGATATATTCGATGTACATTTTGAAACACAGGATGAAGATGATACGCCAATACTAGAATCGACTATATTCACTGAAGAATATCAAGAGAAAATTCGTGGTGATATTTTTAATGAACTAAATCGTCAACGCATGAAAGAGTATCGTAAAAATCAACGACATTTATTACTTGGTCGATCATTATTAATGTTCATGACAGTATTATTCCTATTCATGAGTTTGACATTAATCTATGTTGTGTTCGACTTATTTGGTCGAATAACCTATTTAAATGCAAAAATACCGGAAAACATTTTTATATCAATGACTTATGATCAGAGAATCAATTTGTATTGATTGGATAATATAAATATCAAAGGCGCTCCTCTAGTCCTGTATATATGTATTATACGCATGTTTGTCACTCAATGATAATTGATTTTTCGTAGATTCTATCTTATTAACTCTAATTTACTATCTTCAAAATAGATTTTCTTCGTGACGTTCATGATATACTTAGTCAATGTGACTTTATGCGCAGTTAGTTTGTGTTTATTTTTTAATAAAAAATGATCTGAATTTTAATTATAAGATTTTAAACTCTTTTCACAGAAATGTTAAAATATTGTTTTGATTAATGCCATTAACATCTTACGAATAGTTCAGAGAAATAAATGCACTAATAATAGTTTCTAAATTTCTTATATATTCTTCATATTATTGCCATAGGTTTTGATCAATAGATGACAATGAACACGGGCTGTAAACTGTAATATATTTCTATCAGAAAATGATTTCACCCGTGTTAAAATTACTCTCTTAGTATAAGCATTGTAGAATTAAAATATGAAATATGGTGTAGTGTTAGTTGGGTTCTTCTTAGGGACACTATTCATTTTATTTTACTCAATCCACTTTGAGTAGACATTTCTTCGCTATGCATTTCTGCATATTCTCCAAATATACAATGAGAAATAAATTCATGTATTATAGTGAGACATTAAAGATGTGCAGCCTATATTTTTGTATTGACAAAGTCTGTTTCCATCTGTGATATTTCCATACGCATGTGGGGGCTTGTCTGTTTTCTATTCACACGCTAGGTTTTTTCCTGGATTGTTATATGACTTAACAGGGTGCTTTGCAGTGGTGTGATATTTATTCAAGATGATTATGAAGAGAAAAAGAAATATCAGTGGTGGATTGTTTTCATAATACTTTGATTTTTCAAAATGTGTAAATATGATATTTTTGACAGAGGCGGGGGAAGGGGAGAGGCGCGTATTGACCCTTTCTTATTTTAAGATCATTTTTTGTGGGGAAAAAACAACTGTGACTGGAACAACCGGAATTTTGTGATGCAGAAAAATTGTCATTGATTAATCTGAATTGCAATAGATTGCTCACGAAGATACGTAGTTGAATTGATGAATATGCAACAATCCATTGAGAAATAATATGTTAAGAGCTCTTTCAATATTGACAAAGATACTCACGGTAGTCGAGTAAAATAATGAAAACCATATGAATCAGCTTCTGCGCTTTTTTTAGTTCTCAATCTGTGTCGTCAACGGTGACATCATTATAATCGATAATAAATATTTAATACATAGTAAAATTACAAATATTGATACCTAATGCAATAAATCCAGTTTATGACTAATAAAATAAATGTATCAAATTTACACTTAGCTTTCTTGAAATTGAATCATCAAAATTTAAAAATGAGGATATTTTTCTGAGAAAAATGACGCATACAGAGATGAACATTTTCATCATGATTCGATTGTTCTCGTGATGATTATATCTCTTAATTATGTAATTAACATGTTAATAATCAATTGATTTGACTTCTCTTCCCTAGAGCCAATATAAATTCTTTGCTGTCTCTGTGAGAAGTTTTATTGCCACGTGGATTATTATCTATTGGTTTTCTTCTATTATTCCTGGAAAAATACTTACATTTGATAATAATGTCTTTGTTTGTGATAATATATGCATCCGAACGTACTTAACAGATACTTACGTTTTTCTTTGAGAGCAATAGCTACTACTTTTTAGAGTCATTTACTTTCAAGTGCCAAAAACCACGCAACAAATAAAAGATATACTATCGGATCCTGATGGTAAACTTGTGAATATTGCACTTAATGTACCTACCAAGGGCGCGAAACCAGACGGTAAGATCTTACAAGAATCGTACGTTTGATCATATCTGATCTGATAAGATTAGACGAAAAATCGTCGTCTCTGATTTCTTACACTAAGTCGTATCAGAAGGTTCTTGAAAGGTTCTGTTACCCATGAAATATCACTGTGATATTTTAATTAGACTAATATCTCCTTAAAATCTCACGACAAATTTGTGTTGAAAATAAATTGTATGTGCGATCTTTAAAGGAAATATAGTATGATATGATGCAAGACTTCAGAGACGATGATTTTCTGCTTGATGCTTATAAGATTTCGTTCGAATCGTGAGATATGACGTCCGGATTGTAAGATTTTACGTCAGATTTTCCGACCTGGGTACACATCTACAGCAACGTCAATATATGGGTATGTTGGAAGATAGTAATGCAACATCCTGTACATTTGACTGGTATGATGCGCAAGCATTTGATGCCAAATATCTTGAAAATTATATTTGTTCATTCGTGAGCACTGCTGAAAATTTCTTGAATGAACCTATTGGCTTTGGCCCACCACAGAAACCAAATCCATACTATTTTACACAATGTCAAAAATGTCTATGTATCATTTTGACAAACCGAGATATTGGAAAAAAATTTGTATGTATGAATCCAGAACCACGATGTATCCATTATAATTGTACTCAAGCACTACCCACTACCGAGTTCATGAGGGATGCTCTGGAAATAGTGAAGGAGCATTTTAAATTTACTTCCACATGAAGATGCTCAGAACATGATTTCTTATACAAGCCTATGTGCAAAAATCAAGGGAGACACGACGGACTTTTGAACTTGAAGTAACTTTGAGCTACTTTCAACGGTACACTTCGAAGAATTTTTCTACTTCAAATTTACTCGAAGTTGCGTGAAGTTACATCTAAGTTGCAAAGCTACTTGTTCTTATTTCGGACCACTTGAGTGGTATTTTTCGCTACTGCAAGCATGTACTTTGACTTACTTTGACGTACTTTTCTACTAGAAGTTCGCCATTTTCCTCTTGGCAAAAATATCTTTTATATTAATTTTTTCATTTTTCATTTCTTTTTTGCTTAGTAAATATTGAAAATCAATCGAGTGAACATTGAAAATAATATTTACTTTGAGAAAGTAGCAATGTTCAGACTACTAAATTAGAAAGTCCCACGAATTTGATGCATTTGTCTTGTGAATTGTTTGATACTCCCCAAAATAGTATAATTTTCAAAAATATGCATAATTCTACACTTACTGGAACTGGCTGAAATCAGAAAATTTTCTAAAAGTTTTCAATACTCTCAAAAATTTTTGATTTGCAGTTGGATTTCGTTATCAAGTCGATGGAACTTTGTGTACCTCTGGCAATTTATTTCTCTAGAAATTGGAACATACTTCTTTATATTACGATCTAGAGATACGTGAGTATTCATGTAACCATCATTAACAGGCTCTTATCGATAAAATACAATACATGTATATATATATACGTATATATAATATAGATATATACATTTCAAGCAGTAAGAATATATCCTCCAATGACTATATAACAGAGTGGATCAGTGATCGTTGCTTTTTTTTCTTGATTTTCCTCTCTAACACAGTTGAAGTCCAAAGAAATGCATATCATATTGTTGAATACTTTATCAAATTCTATGGTAATTCATTAAAACAAAACATACCTTACATATTGAGAAAATTTCTAGTCTATACAATCTATTATTCGTTGTTCTATGTAGATCTACTATATCTATTGTATCACCTGTCAGTAAGAATTAGACTAAACATAAAAACCTAGCTAAGAGTTAGTGCAATTCAGCTTTGTCATTACACTATCAAGCAAAGTTTGGAGCAATGCATCTAAACCCAATCGTGCAGTAATATAAAATTTTCAGAACAATGATGGGGTGAGCCTTTCTTCAATAGCCATGCTAAATTTCTAATATAAGAGTGCCATCTGCCGAGAGTCTAAAAATGATTGGCGTTGGCCATGTCACTATATACTCATCATCGCTAGAATGAGTAGAGAAATAAATAGTTCTATTAACTTTTATTTTTTCTGTAACATCTTGATTATTTACTAGAATCGCATTATCATGCCGAATGAAAATGCTCCTTATTCTTGTGACACATTTGTTGTTCTACCACCATTAACAGATTCAAATTTTCGCATATTCGGTAAAAATTCGGATCGACCAGCTAATGAAGTTCAAGAAATTATTTTTGTTTCTAACGAACATACAAATGAAAATAAAGATTTTGTTCAAGTATGTGTTTTTTTCAAAAATGACAGTTCATTCAAATCGTTGTTCTTCTCGTAATTCAGTGTACTCATATAAAAATTCCACAAGTATCAACAACTTACCGATGTATTCTGTCAAAACCAACTTGGTGTTGGGGTGCAGAAATCGGTGCCAATGAAAACGGAGTTTGCATTGGTAACGAAGCTGTGTTCTCAAAAATAACCTATGAAACACGAGATCACGCATTGACTGGTCTCGATATTGTTCGGTTAGTATATATTGTAGAATATTTATAATTCTCACTTATAATCTAGAAAAAAGAATATATTGTGATTCGATTCATTGATTTTTAATCATAGGAATATAGAAGAAAAATATTTCTCAATTTTTCTTTAGCAATAATTGAAATGCTGACTAAATTTTCTTCTAAAACCTGTCATGACCATATATAAAGATGAATCGTAACTCTGTTGCATTTCATACTCATATATAAAAAACAGTAATTAATATTGAAATCATAATAAAATCTTACATGGTTCATTGCAAGTACGTAGGAGCATGATCACCTTTTATTCGAATTTCTGTTCTTTAAAAGAGTTGTTTTTTTTCTGAATCGGATCTTTTAATATAGATATATATGAATTTCCACTAGGATCTGGTTCCCACAAAATTTCATTTTCATATTCTGAAGAATAGTTTGTACATTTACAAAAAGAATGCTTTTGAGGTTCTCATTTAACTGTAAGTATATTTCTTTGTTTTACACCTTTCATTCATCAGTCTGATAACGAAAGCTAGATCTTTTCTTTGGGAAAAAAATTTTTCAATAAATTTTTTGTAACTGCAATAGTTTTCTTCGATCAAGAATGTACTGACGAAATTTTCTGTTACAACTAATACCTTTACATAGTAATCTGAAATACTGAATTGCTTCAGTTTATATAGACAAATGAGCATCATATCACATAGATAATTATTTCAAGAAACAAGTATTGTAATTTTATGAAATTAAGTCAGTAATCAATAGTCTTGTTCATCTATTGAAAGATCTTCAGATTGAAGATATCTTTGGGTAGAATTTAAATATAAATAAATGAGAAAACATCGGATTCGCATCCGATTGTTACGTGTACTGCAAAAACTGAGTCGATTTATATATGTTTTGAATAATACTGAGAAAAATTTAAAAAAAAAAAAAAATCCCGGAACCCCGCAACGGGGTTGGNCGATAACTCAGCCATTTCTTCACAAATTGCTTTCATCTTCGAACTCGACTGAGATATTGATGAGATCATTCTGTGTACAAAATTTCATGACAATTGGATGAGGCTTTCAAAAGTTATCGTGTTAACGGTCGGCCGGCCCGACACACTGACCGAATCTAGAGTGTACTCATTCTTTTTGGAGTACACAAAAACAATTCTATTCGAGAAAAAACAAATTTATCCTCTTGATGTTTGATATAATTCGATAAATACTAAAACGATCTAGAAGATATGTTCTATAAATTCTATTTTTTTCAAAGCATATGATACCTCCCAGTAAATAGGCAATTGAAAATTCTAAAATTGAATAGGTTGACGAATTTTTCAGACTGACATTAGAACGTGCTAAAACAGCAAGATTGGCAGTTCACATAGTTGGTGAACTTGTTGAACAATATGGTCAAGGTGGGCCCTGCTTTGATGCAAGTGCAAATTTTTCTTACGGCTATGATAATAGTTTTCTTATTGTTGATGCTGACGAAGCATGGAGTATTGAAACATGTGATCGTGTTTGGGTTGCTAAACAAATTAAAGGTAAACATCGGCCGATTTTGTCTTTAATAAAGTGCACTCAAATATTTGATTGTGTTATTTATATTATAGAAGGATATTATAGCATGTCAAATGTGTATTCAATTGAAGATGATTATAATATTCAATCAAATAATTTAGAAAGATTTGCTCAAGAACAAAATCTATGGGATGGAAAGGATAAATTAAATTTTGCTCAAGCTTTTCAAGGTCCATCACCATGCACCGATGCACGATTAAAAGCCGGCCGTAAATTACTTGAAAATTTAACTAAGAATGGTAATTTTTCAATCTTTGATATGATGTCTATTTTACGTGATGATCAATCTGGCATCTGTGCATTCGATCAAGTTCGAGGCGTTCGTACAACAAGTTCTCAAATATCGGTCTTAACATCAAATAAAAAATCTCACATAGACACGTGTCATTTTCTAACTGGAACACCTAATCCTAAACAATCATTATTTAAACCATTTATTTTTTCAAATAATGTTCAATTAGGTTCATTAACTGTTTCAACGCCTGAGAAAGTCACAGCACAACGCATTCATCCGTTATATTCAGCGCATCAGAAAGCAAAATGGGAAAATGTTGATCTGAAACGTTTACAAGATTTCGAACATGAAGGAATCATGGAAATTATTAATAAACTTAAATCGGCGGAAAATAATAATGTGGATACATATGAAACATTATTTTACGATATAGTATCAGCAGAAATAGAATTATTACGAGAGCATCCATGTACAAAACGTTCTTAAATTTCGAATAGTTAGCTTCATATCATTAATATTATTCGTGCAATATTTTTAACTTAGTCTTTTAAGAATCGTATATTGTGTTTGTATTTTAATATTCATATTTATATACTTCTTATTTCGATTCATTTAATCTCGTTTTTGAAATATATTCAATAAATTTCATAATGACATTCATAATACGGCTGTTAATTAATCAATTTGATCATATGTGACCAAATAAAGGTAATATTGGAGTTATCTTATTCACTATTGTATAAGACAAATTCTTTCTGTTTACATCACTCGATTCAGTAGCGATGAATCCATGATACTTGCTACCCATACCAGCGACACATACCATACTTTTTGTTTTTATCCATTTTTAGACATTTATCAGGAACCAAAGTAGAATTCAATGCATCAAATTTAGCTCTAGATATCACCTACATCCTTTTATTTTCGTCGACATCTTTCATCTTTTGTAAGGTTTCGAATTAGATTTTAAAAACTTATCGTGATGGTCTGTTAAAATTGCATGTAAAACACCCTAGGTTAGTAATCGAATATTTGGTGGATGAATTCATTCCAAACAATTTCCTAACGCAATGGAATTGGATTTCAAATAGTTCGATGACCTGTATCGAGTTGTGCTCAAAAATAGTCTTAAGC